CAAGGAGTACGAGCGGCAGGAGAAGAAGGAGACCTCGGAGCGCGCGTTGAAGGCTACCTCGTTCGGAGGTAGGGGCCAGAACGGGAAGTTCGGCAAGGGCGGCAAGGCATTCGGCCGCAAGCGCAACGGCGGACGAAAGGTCGGTGGCTTCAAGGGCAAGTGCTTCAACTGTGACCAAGTGGGCCCCATGAAGCGGGACTGCCCGGAAAAAGTAAATGGAGACACCGCCGAAGACTCGGTGTTCGCTGTAGCGGAGAATCCATCAGCGGGTTGGCTGATCGATAGTGGGGCGACGGCTCACATGACGCCTCACCGCGATGACTTGTTTGAGTACAACGAGTCGTCGGCGGACATGTATGTGACAATCGCGGACGGGAAGAAGATCCACGTGGCTGGGAAAGGGTCGGTGCGCCTAACGGGCATCGACGGCAAGCGCATCAAGATGGTGGAGGTGCTCCACATCCCCGGACTCGACCGGCGACTACTCTCGGTTGGGAGGTTGGCTGAACGCGGCATGAGTGTCGAGTTCCAGCGGAACTCGTGCGTCATCTGAGACAAGACGAAGGCGATCGCTTCGGGAAAGAAGGTCGGCAAGGCGTACTTGCTGGACTGCCAGCAGGATATGGCGTACTACACCGAGTACTCGGGAGTCGACGGAAAGTGGGAGCTATGGCACGCTCGTATGGGACACTTGAACGGAGACGCTATGGCGAAGACCCGCGAGGCGACGGACGGGATCCCGACGACTCAACAGCAGACGAAGACCCTGTGCGGAGGATGCATGAAGGGCAAGCAGACGGTCGCACATTTCCCGTCGCGGTCGACGTCGGCGACAACTCAACCGCTGGAATTGGTTCATACGGACGTGATGGGTCCTATGAAGACGAAGTCCAAGGGCGGAGCGAGGTATGTGCTCACCTTTGTCGACGACTACTCGCGACACGTCGTGGCGTACTTCTTGACCAAGAAGAGCGAGGTCGTGACCAAGTTCAAGTCGTTCATGAAGCTGTACGAGAACCAGTGGGGACAGCGCATGAAATGGATGCGCTCGGACAACGGCACTGAGTTCATGAACACGCCGATGACTGAGATCTGCCGGGTGAATGGGATTATGCATCAGAAGACGGTCCCGTATAGCCCCCAGCAGAATGGCGTGGCGGAGCGGATGAACCGCACGATCATGGAGAAGGCTCGAAGCATGCTACACTACAAGGGCGTGGCTTCGATATGGTGGGCAGAGGCGGTCAGCACTGCTGTCTACCTGATCAACCGGTCGACGAACAGCATGCACCCGACCAAGACTCCGTACGAGTTGACGTTCAAGTCGAAGCCTCGGCTGGACCATCTTCGAGTCTTCGGGTCGATTGGTTACGCCCATGTCGACAAGTCGCGACGCACCAAGTTGGAGCCGAAGAGCTTCAAATGTGTGTTTCTTGGGTACGCCGTCGACTCAAAAAGCTACCGAGTGTACGACTTGGAGTCGAACAAGGTGAAGTTGTCCAGGTCGGTGAAGCTGGACGAGCGCGAGGTGAACGGCATCTACGACACGTCGCCCAGCGAGAACTCGCCGATCATTCAGCCGACGGAAGATGTCGACGATGAAGTGGCGCTGCACGAGGAGATGCAACGACCTGCCGCCGACGAGCCGATTGAATCGGTGGAAGAGACCGTCGAGGACGCGGAAATGCATGAGGCGGAGACACCGGAGCCATCCATGCAGGAGCTGACAACGTACCGACGACTCGCGAGACCGGTATTTAAGGATGACATGGTCTTCCATCCGGAGCCGGAACGGACCCGGCGTGCCCGAGAACCGGTATTACTACTTGGAAATAGTTCCGCAGACGGTGAGGAGTCGAAGAAGATGGTCCCGATGACTCGGACAACGATGATTACTTCTGGCCACCGTCTCCGAAGCGACCCAGGGTGGACGATGACAGCCTATTGGCTGAGGCGGTGCTGGACTACGCCGCAGACGTCGGTGATGCCAATGACGCACCCACCACGTATCAGCAGGCCATGCAGAGCGACGAGTCGTCGGAGTGGGTGAATGCAATGGATGCGGAGCTCAAGGCACACGCGGACAACGGATCATGGACTCTGGTCTGTCGGACACCGAGTGCTCGACGGATCGGTTGTCGCTGGGCGTTCGCAAAGAAACGCGACGTGCACGGCTGAGTCATCAGGTATAAGGTCCGCCTGGTGGCGAAAGGGTTTAAGCAGAAGTATGGTGTGGACTTCTTCGAGACGTACTCGCCCGTGGCCAACATGAACTCGATCCGAGTGGTGTTGTCGGTTTTGGTGGCCGAGGCGTACATCACCGAGCAGCTGGATGCGGACACCGCCTTTCTCAACAGCGGGCTGGTGGAGCGCGTCTACATGGAGGTGCCCTACGGAATCATCAACGCGAAGAACATGATGTGTCGGCTGCAGAAGGCGATCTATGGTCTGAAGCAGGCGGTGAATGCCTGGCATAAGACCATCAACCGAGTCTTCGTGGGCATCGGATTTCGGAGCTGCGATGGCGACCAGTGCGTATACGTCAAGGGCGAGAAGGGCAGGTTCGTATATGCCTGCCTGTTCGTGGACGACATGATCATCGCGGCCAAGACGAGCAACGAGATCCAGGAAGTCAAGGTGGCGCTCAAGAATGCGTTTAAGATGAAGAAGTTGGGCGAAGCCAAGTTTATACTTGGTATGGAGATCGATCATGACTCATCGGCGAAGACTCTCATGATCAAGCAGACTCGATACATTGATGATGTGGTGAAGCGGTTCAACCAGCAGGACGCCAAGGTGGTGGTGAATCCGTGCGAGTCGGGCATGAAGTTGTCGAAGACTCAGTCGCCGACGACTCAGAAGGAACGCGAGGAAATGCAGGCGAAGCCCTACCGAGCACTCATTGGCTGTTTGTTGTACATTACAACTTGCACCAGACCTGATGTGGCGTACATCGTGACCCCGTTGTCGCGCTTCCTTGAGAACCCCGGGCAGCAGCACTGGAAGGCTGCCATCCGCGTGCTCAGGTACCTGAAGAGCACCCAAGACATCGGCATCGCCTACAATGGGAACGCGAAGAAGGTCGAGGTGACGGCGTACACCGACGCCGACTGGGGCAGCAATCTCGACGACCGACGCTCGGTGTCGGGCATCATGGTGATGATTAGCGGGGCGCCGGTGGGCTTCAAGTCGAAGTACCAGCGCACGGTGGCGCTCAGCTCGGCGGAGGCCGAGTACATGGCGCTGAGCCTGTGCACGCAGGAGGTGCTGTGGACCCGCGCCATGCTCAAGGACATGGGTCACGAGCAAGTGGGAGCCACCCAAGTATGGGAGGACAACCAGGGCGCGATCGCTCTCGCAAGCAACGCTGGCTACAACGCGAGGACCAAGCACGTGGACATCAAGCATCGCTTCATCCGCGAGAATGTGTCCCGAGGACTCATCGTCGTCAACTACGTGCCGACGGAGGACCAGCTCGCGGACATGCTTACCAAGGCGTTGGGGACGAAGAGGCTTAAGTACCTGTACCTGATCAGCGCAAGCGGAATCGTCGGGACGGTCGTGCAGCATTAGCGGCGAGTGGGAGTGTTCATGAGTCTTCGGGAGCGCCGCCAATAGATGCACATGGACGAGGAGAACGTGTGGACACATCCGCCGATGACTCGGAGGATCCGACGGCGATGGGAGAGCCGGCGGCAGCCGGGCTCTGGATATACCAATGGCTGGTCAGGGAGACCCAAGTATACTGAGATCAAGTCAATCGGAACCCGGGAGTAATTCGTCTGATGAGAGGCACCAACGAGCACAAGGAGAACAAGAAGGAAAGCAGGAGGGGAAGACTAGAGAGTAGTTTGAGAGACGATAACATTTAATCTCACTTCGGAATTTGCCCCCTCAACCACAAGCTAAAAACCAACATTCAAACATGTATATGCACACGTGCCAGCGAAAGTGCTCAACATATCCCGCCAGTCGTGGCAAGTCCATTCTTTGCATTGAGTGAAATTAATGACCAGGTGCTGTTCGTTCAGTAATTAGAGCACAACGATGTGCTTGGAATCCATATCCTTGGATCGGTTCGGCCACCGGTGGTGGTGTGACTTTCAGCCGTGCTGATTCAGCACGGATGGCAGATCCATTCGTGTGAGCTCGTTTTATGGTAATACATCTCCCACACGTTGGTTTAACATGACCATTCACCAGCGTTTATGCAGCAAGGCAGCGGTGTTCATCCCACGGACCTCCTGCCCAATACACCGTACTTGGCTGCCATGTACTACTTTACATGCACGGGTACATGTACTGTACTGCATGCTGTCACGGGAATCTACCAATTATGTACATGTACATGTAGTCTTGAAGAGGCCGCCCATGTGTCCAACACGTAGAAGTCCCGGTGATCCAACCGGAACAGCATTTGGCTTCTTCAGCACGTGCTTAAAGGAACCAGCAGTCGATTGGGCCGAGGGTCGTAGATCAGAAAAGCACCGTGACTTGATGGGGTGACAGTCGCCGTGACTGTACAAAGCGGCCAAGATACGGGTGTCCAACGCAGACTAACGGGGCACGCTGATGTACATGTAGTTACAGCTGGTGGGTTTTCATACGCTCCGACTACGACGGACATTGCCCGGTGTATTCCTGCTCGTAAGACCATGAAACATCAAACATGCGTCGCGCACAAAGATCTTCATCTACATAATGACTGCGGCTGGTGGTCCTATGTGTTCTATATTCTGGGCTTAGAATTGCGTATTTTAATATGATGTATTTGCAGTCCTGTCCCCGATCACCCCTGTCCATCAATGTGCGTTCTAAGAGTTAGGTCGTCTCACGGCTGTATGATTAGAGTCTAAAATTTAGTAATTAGGCTAATTCATCTGACTCGAAATATGCACTAGGCAAGAGTCCCTGATTCATTGTCTGCATCAATCGTTCGGTTATATCCATTTACTCGTGCCCGAGCTTCAATGGGCTCGCCATCCGTCTAGGATTAGCGTGCCCATGCCCGCACACCCCAACGTCTCGAGCAGCGCCGGCTCTTCATGGCTGAGGGCAAGCGCTCGCTCAAGGACTGCGCCAACTCGGACGCCTCGCGACGACTGCAGGAACACGCCGTGGCCCGCCGCGCAGCCAAGGCCGACAGCATCCGTGCTGAGGGCCGTCAGCGCCGTCGCCTCGATCTCGACACTGTGCTGGTCACCAGCCACAAGTCCAACCTCACGGGCCTCACCGCCGACACGAACGCCAGCGAGCTCTTCGGCGGCGACGTCAAGTGCATCCTCGAGCCAGAGGTCACCCAGGGCCCGTACTACGTCAACGGCGAGCTCGTGTGCTCCGACATCCGCGAGGACCAGGAGGGCGTCGATCTGTACGCCGAGATCCAGATCATCGACGTCAACACGTGCGAGCCCGTGGAGGGTCTGTACCTCGACTTCTGGCACTGCAACGCCACGGGCGTGTACTCGGGCATCGTGGCCAGCGGCAACGGCGACAGCTCCGACACCACCAACCTCGACAAGACGTTCCTGCGCGGACTCACGCCCACCGACGAGGACGGCGTCGCGTCCTACACGACCATCTTCCCGGGCCACTACACGTCGCGCGCCACGCACATGCACATCATCGGTACGTACAACGGCACGCTGCTCGAGAACAACACGTACTCGGGCGGCTACGCGTCGCACGTGGGCCAGCTCTTCTTCGACCAGGATCTCATCACCGAGGTGGAGCTCACGGCGCCCTACAGCACCAACACGCAGGAGCTCACCACGAACGCCGATGACTCCATCCTGTCGGAGGAGGCGTCCGAGGACTTCGACCCCGTGTTCGAGTACGTGTTGCTGGGCGACTCGGTGTCGGACGGCGTGCTGGCCTGGATCTCCGTCGGTGTGGACATGACGCGCGCGCAGACCATCACGGCGGCGGGCACACTGACGGCAGACGGAGGCGTCATGGCCGACTCCACGAGCACGACGGCCGGCGGTGCGGGTGGTATGGGCGGCTTCGGTGGATCTGTTGGAGGACCCGAGGGAAGCCTTGCGATTGCCTCGTCGGGATCCAGTGACACCACTAGCCAGACGACGACTGCTGGCGCCGCGGAGACCACGACGACCTCGGGAAGTGTCGGAGCGGAGGCTGCTGACCCGTCCTGCAACGTGCGCCTCCGCCGTTAAACGTTTGATAGGTTCTGAGGGTAAAGGAGAGATTTTGTTTATGTCGCTACATGAACCAACCTGTTCATACACGTAGTTTCGTTGGTTTCCTTAGCTTTATGCGCCTAGCTCGTCCCGTTGACATTCGATCGTTGGTTTGGTTGACCATCGATTGTAAGTGCTTGTTATGGATTGGTCAAGCGAGCTGCAAAACAAGCAACATTACATCTTCAACTTAACCAACACAAAGGTTAGTATTCTCTGAAATTTATTTCAGAGTCTACCGGTGATACCACTTTCCGCGCTAATTGCATATATCACAGTTTAGCGACGCCCTCTTTGCTTGAATTGCATATCTGCTGTACGGGTCATCCATTTCTCAAACTTCATAAATAAAGTTTTTTGTTAATAAACACATCCTTCGTAATTTAAAGGGTATGATTGTCCGAACATCTTCTCGATAAGTATACAAAGTAGACAGTTCATGATACAAGGCAATATGAAAAACCTCTAATAGTGTATACCTTTGGTCTTTATGAATCACCCACGTGAATGTTGACCCTGTCCGCGACGCGTCCATCTTCGTGCAACCTGCGACTGCAAGTAATTTAAACGGTAATTTATTATGTGGGTTTTTCTTGGGATAAATGCAATTTTTATTTAACCCCATGGATAATCGACACAAGCCGAATTTTTATCTCTGCCTGCGAGCCGAGTAGCGAGTAATGACGAGGCGGCCACCGCCGCGGTGAATACGGACACCAACGCTGAAGTGATCTACTGGCGCCGCGTTTTGAGCAGCGAGCACACACGAAGCCCCGGAAGGGCCCCCGCTCCGCGTGGAGTCCACGCGGACGTGAACACGACAGCTCATCACAACGCTGAGCCCGGTGGTGCTGGCTTGCTGGGGTCGGACGACGGGGATTTTGGCGACATCCGCGTCGTGTCACTTGAGAAGCGCTACGCACCGACGGCGGGCGACTTTTTCATGGTCGTGGACAGCGACGCCATCTTCGCCAAGAAGCTGGACATGTGGAACATCATGGCCGAAGTAATCGATGTGATCGCCCCCTGCATCTACGGACAGGACGCGTCGTTGTACTGCCCGAAGTAAAAAATATTTATGGAAGGGGTGAGTGCATCTGAGCGCTTACTCGATCATTGTTGCATACATCTGCTAACATAGCGTCGTTGTTGCTATTGTATCTCACCCACTCTTGAACGCAATGGACTTCAGACTGAAATGCGGGCGCCACTTTTGAGGAAAATTTCCTTATTCTGAGGAAGGCCTTCCTGTGCCTAACTTATGAGGAAAGCACCAACTTCTGAGCCCACGCGTGGGCTCAATGGGTAATAAAGGTTAAACTAGAAATGTATTGTCAATAAAGTGCCGAGCACCAAGAGGTTTATCAGAAGATGGCGAGCACCTAAAGTGCAAGTAGCCTAGATCAAGATGCACCAAGAAAGATCAAACCAAGTTCAACTCTCTTTTACAACGGCTTCGGTACTCCAAACATCTAGGCGACTTCATCAGCAGACATGACAACAGATTCAAGCTTCGGCATGTACAACTACACTTAACATCCCGCTCTGGTGTGGTGTTCCGCACTGTTGTCGAGTAATTAGCATCCTAGTTCACATAAATTGTGAAGTCGGATAAATCGGTAATCGAACACATCTTCTTCCAAATGCACCAAAAAAGCGTGAACGTCGCAAACAAAGTAGCAGACACTTGACGATAAAAGTTTGGACTTCACTGCCGAAATTTCAGAGCTTCTTCGTGCACAGCACGACTTTGTTAATACATAATGCTATGTTTCGTATGGGGGTCTTCGGCTAAGTCCGGGGGCATCAGATTGAAGTTGCTCTATGTACGCAAATCTGCTCTGATATTGCGGTATCTTTTCCACCAAGTCATCAACCACCAGCTCTGCTCTCCAGTACTCGGCGTATGGTCCACTTACTGCTACGAAGCGTGTTGGAGACCTGAAGCTGGCAGCTTAGAACTTTCATTACGTACTGTCCCCGGTACATACTGTCCCCAGAGCAGGCATCCGAGGTATCGCCAGGCTGTTTGCGCAGCGTTAACAGCTCGGAACGTACACTCTGTAAAAGGGTGAAGAGAAGCCTAACAGAAGCCAGGTCACGTATGTGCTAGCACGGGGTTTGTGGTGGTGTCCGTGAGCCTCACACCACCGGTATCAATCAATAAGTATTCAGTACTCTATCCACTAGGAAGTACCCAGTCAGTATACTTATCTGAATGTACTGAAACCTATAAATACAGGTAATGAGAGAAACCGTTTGATTGGACAAAGAAATGTTTTATAGCTTCAACTAACCGTCATTTAATAAGCCTATTCTGCAGAGGAATTTTCATAATCCAGTACTGGATCGTCCCCCAGGCCGGTCGAAAAACAAACTACTGCCACAGTATTTATTAAGTTTGTACTGCGTATTTATTAGCTTTAAGCTACGCTTACTACTCTCTGCGAGACTGGATCCTGGCGCTGCGTCGTGTCGGTCGTCGATGGCGTGTCCGACGCCTTCCTCTCGTAGATTGGTACACCCATGTGAAGTCGATAGATTCGCGTTCGAACTGCAGTTTCAGGCGCATCGGAACGTGGCTTCCTGGTTCCCATGCAAGCTCCCGGTACCCGACCCATTGGATGAGATAATATACTCTTACGTTGATCCACCTTTTTTCGTATATTCATTCTACCTCGTACAACTTGTTAAATGACGGTAAGTGAGCTGGAGCTGGGAAATGAAGAACTGATGCATTATCTAACCTGCTTCCTACTCATGTGCAGAGGGCCGCGCCTCGCAACCACCGCGCCGCCCTGTGGTCCTTGGTAACTACTATGCCTGCGACCACTCACGCCCGCAACCGCCCGCAACTGCCCGTACCATCGCACGCAACGACTGCGAGTTCGAACACAACTGCGCTTCCACGCCTCTCTGGGCCCTTCGATTGCGTGCAAAGAGGCCACCACCCCTACGTCGTTCTACTAGGAGCCCACCCCTGACTGACGACTCTTCTTCCGCCTGCTCTTCGGTGTCTTCGTCGCTAATATCACGTGCGGAAACATCACGATTCAGTCGGAGGCGATAAAGCGAGCCGTCCAAGCGGTGCTGGATGTTACGGGCGTGGCGCTGGCGTGGGTCAAGACGCGGCATTGAGCACAATGCAGAATGGAGCTCGCCGCAGTGGTGACGCAGTCTACTTCTACTTTAAGTGTTCCCTAAAATAAATAGCTAGCCTCAGACTTGAAGTAAGGTTGTGACTTGGCTAAATTTAAAGGCAGTTGAACTGCAAAATTCACCCTGCAAATAGACGTAGCATTATTACACCATAACGGCTTAAATTATACAAAAAGGGTGTATCATGCAGTGGTACATTTGTAGAGTTCCTACTCCTACTATAATTTAAAAGATTTTTGTAAAATATTTTACCTGCGTGCCCTTGGGGTATAACACTAGAGATCTATCGGTTTAGAATTTTTATATAGCCTACCGAAATATGAGCGAACAAGACTTGGCAATTTGGTTACAAATCAAGGAAAACACAATATATATTAATTATAGAAAGTAGTTTGTCAAAAGTCCAGATTGATAAAGTATAAATTGGCTTTTCTTGAAGAAGAATGATCTTGTCCCTACAATGCGTGTTTTGCAATCTTTCGCTTGTGTTTTGGCTTTTTCCCCGGCTTCAACCCTCTTTTACCAATCCGTTCGGGAGGGGGCTCAAGTTGTGGGGGGTGGATTGTGTCGTCCCGATGTAAGGTTTGCTGTTGTCGGCCAAGGAAGAAATTTGAAAGTGTACGTAGCGCGAAAGTGCTCGATCGACATTCGCTTAGCGTCGTACAAGTCCTCGATCCGGCGGCCGTCTTTCGAAGCAGCGCAAATTGCGTGGACACAAGGGAACATCTGGTCTTGCCAATTGCCGCACGTGCACGCTTGCGCCGGCAGATCCACAACACGGTCTGGGTGCCCATATCCTGGTATGGCAACAACAGGTCCCTTGAATAAGACGCTGTACGCTCCCTCGAGTAGCGGGGTAAATTCACACATCTCGGCTGCAACTTGACGGTCTGTACGTCGCTCCAACAACTTGGGGACTAAATCCGAGAGCGCGCCAGATTTGGTCGACGACACAACAAGTTGCCGCTTCCTAGACATCAGTTGACTCAGCTTCAAAAAGTACAAGTGGAATCCGTCAAGGGGTTTGGCTGTGCGAAGCTCTTTTTCCATCCAGTTGTTTGCTTGTTCCGACAAATTTGAGGTTATCTCGTCGAAAGTCGGGAGATTAAACTTTTCCCGGAAACTGTACTTAACCCAGTGAGCACGTTCGATTCCGTCCAGAAATGTGGCAGCAGCAGGGTTGTTCACCGCGAGTTCACTACGATACAGCTTATAGTCATTTTCGCAATCACTGCGTGCCATTCGGCTTACCCACGCACGGTCCTCTTGGGACAGCCTGGAACATTTCCTGTTGATATTGTCCATAATATGCCGCAAGCAGTATCGATGGCCGGCGCTTGGGAAAACGGCCGATACATCTGGAAGTAGACCCTTTTTGTCTATCCGACAATATCGTGAATTTTTTCAAGCCAACCGCCTCCTTGAATGCTCCCAAGAACCAAATCCAGTTTTCTTTGTCTTCTTGCGAAACCAGCGCGAGTCCAACGGGAACGATGTGGTTGTTGTAGTCTTTCACAGTAGCTACGAGATAAATGCCCTGTTCGTGAATTTCCTCCTTGAGGTGAACACCGTCGAAGCCAACCATCGTTTTGCTGTGCTGAGCAATGTGAATGCCAGCGTTTGGAATGAAACACGCCCGACTAAACGACGACCCGTCCGCGGTAGACTCCACTCTCCACACCGATCCAGGATTCTTGTGCGCCATCAACTCAAAATATACCCGCAGCTTTTGGTAACTTTCTACCAAGTCACCGTGAATTTTGTCGTCAATCTTCTACTTCATTCTTGACACCGAGGGAGCGCTTACGTCAGCTCCTTTTGATTTCAGAATATTCTTGATAGCGGCGCCTGACATTGAAGCCGTAGATCCGTCGTGGGCGGGAAGCATCTCGGTCTCGACTATCGCTGTTAGCTTGTTTATCTGCTGCGTGGTATTGCGCATTGGCTTGGGCGGCAACGGGATGGACCCTTCAACACAAGGAGCCTTGGTACTGCCGACGAACTTGAGGTGGTTGTGCACAAAATTTGCCTGGGTTATCTTCCACTTCCCCGATTTGCCGTGAACATTCACGAAAAATGGGCACGTGAGTTGGGCGGCTGGCGTAGACCGGTCAAAATATTGCATTCCATTGAGCGCCTTGCACGCAAATGTTGCGTTGCCGGAGTTGTCGGCCTTCACACTTGTCTGTTTGACGAAAATCTGGAAGCCGCACCACACAGCCAAATCCTTGCACTTGCTGTGGACAGATTTTTTGTGAAGAAAAGACTGAATTGGCGATATTCTCCCGGAGTTGGTACGCCAAGCCATACGTTGAGCTTGTCGGGTCCGTCGTCTCGACTACAACATTGTCCCTCAGTAGTCCCAGTTCTCGGGCAGCTTCTAGATCGGACACGTCGAGTGAAAAGCGAGCGGTGCCGTAGTTTGGGGGGTTTCTTGCCCTTGGCTTGGACATTTGCACAATGTACCAGAATATAAAGCCATAAATCCCGCTTTGAGCAAATGTTTTTATTATTAAACTCGCCTTGGTATTTTTAATTAGCCCCTTGGAAATCTTACCTCCCACGTATGTCCCGCAAATAAATTGCAAGCTCGCAGCTAGCCCATAAATAGTCGAAAGGTTCGTGCGTGGCATGGCGTGCGTACTTAACCCCCCCCCCCCAAGCGCGAGATCCTGTATTAGACACGATTCGACCAAATGGTTATCATGTATTAGACACGTTAAGGAATTTAGACCTTGTGTTTGTATGGGGCTATACAAACTTGAAGTCAATCGAGGTTAGGTTTGAGCCCTATCCTTTCCCGACCAGCTAACAGAGTCGTGCGTCATACTGGATCTTCGTATTTCGTAAAAATAAGATGCCAGAGGTGCTCAGCGTGCTCAGCAAATCAGTATAAGTATGTGAAAGGTGTTTGCGCACGCCATCCATTCTGGCCTCACTTCAGAAAATCCCGCGCCGCCGCACAGACCTCGCGCTACCGCACGTTTACCGCCCGACACCCAACCAACGACACGATGGCTTTCCGTGCGCGCTGGAAGGAGCTCACGAAGGCCGGATGGACCTCAAAGAAGCCTGCGGGACTCTCAGTCGACTACACCTACCTCAAGCCCGGTAAAACCAAGAACGATGTCGAGAATGAAGACTTTTTCGTCGGCGCAGAAGCGCTAATGAAGTATCTGGGTCATTGTGATCGTGGTACGTTTCGAGAATGACTGTATGTTGTTATAACTCAAGTTTGACGACATCTTTTCTCTTGTGACTGATAGTGGCAATGGAGGAGAAGAGAAGAATGGAGCGCCGAGCCAACGAGGACGCGATTGCTGCTCAGAACGGACAAGCCGAAGGCGATAGCCCCGACAAAACGTGCGGTGCATCAAGCAAGTGGCCAGCGCGACTGCCCGAGAGATGATGGTGACGAAGCCCAACAAGGTAACCGATTTGAGTAACGTGTGTTGGATACGACCTAGATCTGACTCTATCGTGTACGATACAGGCAAAGCTGCTGGCGAACCACTCATCCCAACCTCTCCCCACGTTGAAGACGCTGAACCTGGTACATGCAGCGATGAGCAGGACGCTGGATCGGATGCTGCGGACACCCAGTCTCCTCAGTCGCAAGGTAACGAATGATAACCTGTATTCTACAAGCTATTTGGCTAACCCAAACGTGTATTGTACACTCAACTCGGGTGAGGGTACCCCAAGTTCCAGCCGCCACCGCGTTGCCGATCTGATCCCTACGTCTCCTCATCTCGGGTCCGAGGCCAGCAGCCACGTGTCAAGCCCTGCATTGTCGGCTTCACCAGGTAAGGCAATGAAGTATCACTGAAAGGTGTCAATTTGGTGTTGACTCTCTGCGTTTGTCGTATCTGTTTTGCAGCAACCGCTTCTCCTCAAACGCCAACGCGAAACCTTCGCTCGGAGTTTGGCCAGTGCGATGCACCTGATAGCGAGTACGAGCCGTCGGGGAGTGATGAAGAGGAACTTGAAGAAGAATCGAAAGAGAAAAGCGAAATGAACGAGGATGAGGAAACCAAAGAAGACACACCAGTTTCTGTTGGTAAGTTTATTGTGTACATACACGTACATACACGATACCGATATATTTTACTGACTTCTATCGTGTATCATACAGATGATCCAAACATCATGCAGCCTGATAGTCGTTGACGACTACACAGTGTTGGGTTCAGATGGGGGGAAATGGAACAACCTCTGTGTTCAGCGATGACGAAGAATTGGGGCTCACGGAACCGGCTGCGGAGGTGTCAGCTTCGGCCTCGGATCTCCATTTCAGTCCCTCACTGCTCGAAACCGTGCGAGGGTTGTCAGAGCTTGCCCACTGCAGCGTGCCCAAGGACGTTCTGGCGGACATGAAGTTCAATGGATGGACGGAACCGACGCATGTGACACCCTACCCGTACATGTACCAGCCGTACGACGCGCGGCCGGACGACTGGATCAAAGAAGACTACCCAAACATCTATGAAGGAGAGCACGGACCTACAGCCGATGCCATTGCTGCGGCGCTGACACCGTCGGGAGCTTTCTTTCGCTTTGTACAGCCGCACTTGTGGGAAGCTATTGCTGGAGCAAGTGATGACTACTTCAAGGACAACCTGGACCTGCGAGCAGCTGCCCAGCACGCCAAACAGCAGAAACGAAAGGAGAAGCACCCTGATTTTCAAGTTCAAACGCCGCAACAAATAAAGGAGTTTCTGCAAACTACAAAAGATATCTCGGGCAGAGAATTGTGTGTCTTTATTGGTTTGCTGATCGCCAGCACCATCGCGCCGAAGAAGGAGAAGTTCGAGCACCACTGGAGAACTACGGATGAAGGGGCCATCCCACGTGGCTGCTTCAATCCCTACATGACGCGCGACCGCTTCTCCCATCTATCCCGAAACCTCCACTTCAGCAGCAATGCCGACCCCCAAGCCACGAAGGACCGTGCGTGCAAGCTCCGTCCAGTGATCAATGTTCTACAAGAAACTTTCCGAGCCAACTTCATCCCACCCGCAGTTATGGCCTTCGATGAAGCCATGTTACCGTCAAGGTCGAGCTTCAACCGCATGCGTGTCTACATGAAGGACAAGCCCCACAAATGGGGCACTAAGCTCTTCATGCTGTGCTGCTCGCAAACTGCGTATTGTATCCGGTAAGGGAGAGCGCGCCCGTGTTTTTTTTTGCTTCTAAAGTTGCCTTATCGTGTCTAATATAACCCGGTCGATGTGCTATCGTGTCCTATACAGCTTCGAAGTCTACTGTGGGAAAAAGCAAATGCAAGATAACACCACGCCCTCCGACGAGAAGTCCGGGCCAGCAGCGGTGGTACGGAATCTAAAACAGGTTTTTGGCGCTGACGGACCCCGAGATTTCCGGTTGATCATCACGGATAGGTTCTATACGTCCGTGGTGTTGGCGATGCAGCTACTGACCATGGTCATCTACACTATCGGCACTATCATGATGAACAAACGCGGCCTGTGTGAGGCCATTCTCCCGAAGAAGCTGAAGAACGGAAGGCGAGCGTCCAAGAAGACGCCCCGTGACGTCGACAGAGGGACGTATCAGGTTGCGGAAGCGCTACACGTTCCGGCCATGAAGGCTATCCGTTGGTACGACAAGCAGACAGTCCAAATTCTCGCCACAGGTGGTAGTGGTGCGCAAGATCGCATCGTGCGTCGGGACCCGGATACCTCAGAGCAGTCTGAGCTGATGGCGCCAAGTGTAGTGAAGGACTATCAAACGTACATCGGCAGCGTGGACGTACATGACCAGTTTCGACTCCAGAGGTAAAGTGCTTGTATCGTGTATGTACAGTTTTATCAATACTAATTATCGTGTATCATACTGCTTTATTACAGATACTCTCTTCAAAGGGCCAGACGCTACAAGAAATACTACAAGTCATTATTCCTGGGTCTGATTGATCTCGCTATCATCAATGCTTTCATTGTGTACAACTGGCGCCGCACCATGGATGGCAAACGCAAAGCTACGCACGTCGAGTTCCTGAAGAAGCTTCATTTGGAGCTGATCCAGCGGAAGCCTGACGGCTGGACCCAAATGCTGCGCCACCGCGGCATGCACCCTACACCATCGAAGCAACGTAAGGCTACAACAACTCATGTACCCGTACAAACCGACGAGTGGAGGAAGGGCAACACGGACGACACGAGAAAGCGACGCCAGCGTGCCTGCAAGGTGTGATCGGTGCTCAAGCGCGCTGGCGAGGCGAGAGGAGGTGAGACTACGTTCTACTGCGGTGGCTGCAAGCTCAAGACGGCGGCAAAAAATGCTCAGGCTGCACGAGTGTTCCTGTGCAACAAAGTCAAGCACACAAGTAATGGTGAGGCAGTTCCCTGCTTCGAGATTTGGCACCGACACTGGAAGAACGGTACCTTGATCCCGCCGTCCATTACCAAGCGCAAGATTCGCGCACGGAAGCCGGCGGCGACAGCTGCGGCCGCAAGTGACGGCGGCAGTAGTGACAGCGATGCCGCGTCTGATGGGAGTGCGCGCGCGATTCAGCAGCACAAGCGTGCTTGACGAAATGCAATGTAGTGTGTGCAGCAGCTCTTCTGGCTTTTTATTTGACTTAATTTGAGTATGCACTGGTGTTGCTGATTGCCATCTGACTTGATTCTCTAAATATCGACAAAAATTTGACCTTACAACTGCACTGTTTTTGTACTTTGATACACATTAGTCCCCCATAAGATGTATTACCCAGACACGTTAATGCGCTTGAGACCTATCGGCCTGGGGGACGATCCAGTACTTTTCTACTGGATTATGGAAATTCCTCCTATTCTGCATGAAGCTTGAGGGCAGGAATGACTGTTGGAGTTACTGAACTTCAACGTGAAAGTGCAACTGCCTACGTCTTGCGTGCGTGCATCGTGGCCTTGTCATCGCTGGCTCTCTCATGAAGTCATGCCTTGCTCCAAGGGGCCCCCCTGTGGCGCGCAGCTAGCAGCAGCGAACTGCATTGCCATTCTCCAATTCTCCGTGTCGGGCGCAGACCTTCCTCTTCGGCTCACAAGCTTGCACTCTGCGAGTATTGTGGTGCCAAGACTAGGTTGTAAGCTACGCTAGGCCTAGTGAGAGTTAATAGGATTTTTTAAAAAAAAGAAATCTATCGTTGCGTGCCGAGGAGGGCTCTTGCCTCTACCGTCGTAGTGAACCCATCACCGACTATGTCCGCGCCCGGATCTGCTGAGAGGGAGACCTTCGACCAGCTCCCTATTCTGACAACCGCGAGGGTGGTCACCCGTGAGTGTGTGGCTGCTGGGGGCGGTGTGCTTGTCTACGTGGAGAAACTAATCAATGGGTTTCTGGACTCCTTCTCTACCAAGGAGAACGCCTGCTCACACGGAGCGTCCGAGCGAGCCCTCGAGTACCTCTACTGCCGAAGCTCGGAGAGGTCTCGTAGACTGGCCGTCCATCTCGCCGCGATGGCGGGGCATGTCCACGTGTTGCAGTGGCTTGTAGAACACCACCCCGATGACTTTTCTAACCTGAGAGCGGGGTGCCTTAGCCCGATCGACCGCGCCGCGCAGCACGGACACCTCGACGCAGTCATCTGGCTGTTTGCCAACTGCTTCGAGGGGTACAGCTCGGCCACCTTCGCACTGGCCGCTCAGTGCGGCCACGTCGCGGTCCTTCGGTGGCTGCACCGCTACAGCTCCGAACCGTGCACAAGCGAGGCCATGGTCGGTGCCGCAGCGCACAACAAACTCAAGGCCGTGAAATGGCTACATCGTCATGGTCGCCACAGTGATGCCCACGCCGCGATCCTCAAAGCCGCTGAGCTCGGGCATGTGCCGGTGGTGGCGTGGCTGTACCGACACGGCAGTGAAGCGGACGCCTTGCAGGCGATGCTCATAGCTGCCGGCAATGGCCAATTAGCCGTGGTCAAGTGGCTGTGCGAGAACGCCGAGGAGCTAGCAGCGTTCGACGACGATAACTCGCACAACCTTTACGCCGCCGTCCAGGTTGCAGCCAGCGCAGGTCACGACCGAGTGGTCGTGTGGTTGCTGCACCGACCGCAGCGCGCCTAGCAGAGCCGACGCAACAAGCGAACGCGCGGCGGTACCGATAACGATCGAAACAAGAGCAACAAGCGTGCTCGACGTAGATGAAGGGGCAAGTATAACCCGCTTCAATGACGGCGGGGTTGCCCATAGTGTGAATTGTCAAAGTGGAAATCTGTGAATGAATCAATGAATCAATGAATCAATGAATCAATGAAAATGCCATCACTTCTAGCTAAATGCGCCACCTTATTGGGACAGCAATCTCATGCAGTATCGGAATAGTCATACCGGACTCGCAGAAAACCGAAATCTTTGCGACTGCTCGCCCACGCTCCCCTTTGACGATGTCGGAGTGTGACGCCGTTGCCGGTGCTGCTGTCGAAGCTGCCGGTAAACCACCAGTGGTCAAGAGTCTGCCGGAAGTGCGCGTGGTGACGTTGCGCGCCGTGATCCCGAACTACCGAGCGCAGAGGGCGCTCTGGGACCAAGTCCTCGCCTTCACCAGATCGCAGGGTCTCGCTATCGCTGGGCCGTGTCTGGCGATCTACTACGACCAAGGCTACAAGGAGAAGGATGTCGACGCTGAGGTTTGTCTCCCGATCGCCAAAGACGCCAAGGTGAATAAAGACGCGGCCTCAACGTCTTCGATTCGAGATCGCGTGCTGTCCGCCGTGCCGCGAGCTGCGTCGGCGGTTCACCTGGGGTCCTACGACGCGCTGAACCCTACCTACACGAAGCTGTATGAGTGGATTGGCAAGGAGCTTCTTCAGCCGAATGCACCCGTGCGCGAAGTTTACCTGTGCATGAACCCCGAGGACGCCAGCGAAGAATCCTTCGTGACGGAGATCCAACAACCTGTTGCGTAGCGTAGGTGCCCGAGGCAGGGCAGTCAACTGCATGGACCTTCACATGATGTTCATTAAGTCGGTGAATAGGAAGCTTTACTATCCCTGCGGAGATCCATGAGTGCACTAGCTGCCGCATTCTGCAGTGAGTCTTTCACTCAGGCGACTGGCAGCTGAATCTCCGTGACGCTCTCCTCGTCTTCCTCCTCGTTGCCAGTCGGTCTCTTGACGTACACCTCCCTCGACGGCCCAGCAGGCGTGAACTTCTCCGCTCCGATCCAGCCGAAGAAGGTTTCGTACGCCTTGTAGTAGCCCTCACACGGACCGACGTACACCATCACAGCAGCTCGCGATACAGCAGGAACGTCGCGGACAGTGAACGGAGCTTCAACCGGCACTTGGGCGTCGCTCGCAATGGGGAGACATACTTCCACCTCCACGTCGATCTGGCGCCCGTCTTGCGTGAAGTTGACAGCGAACGTCGGCCCCGTGATCGCAACGCTGTGCGTCTGCGCGAAGGCGAAGAGCTTCTGCCATAGATCCCCCTGGGCCCGGTAGTTCGGCAGCACAGAGCGCAGCGACAGCACGCGCACCGCCGGCAAGCTCTTGATCGTCGGAGTCTGCGTCGCCATCGGTTGGGTTGACAAATGGCTTTGGTCGCACTGCAACAGGCGCGTCGTCCCCGGCGGACGTTGTGGATATTTTTTCTACTGACTGGTGACTGCCGCCTAAACGCTCCGAGTCTGTCGAGTTGGCGGGAGATTTGCCGTCGAGACCTTTCCGTGGTGATCTGCGTTGCCACTTGCCAATTCGCTTCAACCCACGAAGTCGTCTCCCAGTCGAAGGCTGAATGGAGCGCAGCAACTCGGAATCGGTTCACGCCACTGCACCGCAGCCAGCAACAGGGAAGGGGTCACAAGAGCGACGGTGGGCAGGACACTGCGGCTGCGGCGGATCCTGCGAGTTCCAGCACTTCGACGACAACATGGAGCTGGTCGACACGAGAGCGGTGCAGACCCCAGTGGAAGGGCAGCAACTAGCAGACGAAGGCTCGCCGCCGCTACTGCTGCACTTGCTGATGATGTGGTAGAAAGCGATAACTGCTAACAAGGACGACAAGGTGCCAAGTAATGCATCTCTATCTCTCGATCAACTCTGTCAGCGTCTGCTTTACATGGTACGCACCTCACTGCCTCGACTTTTGAGGCACGATATGCAGCCTTGACGGCAACAGCAACGCAGTCCACCCAAGACTGCTGAGCGGGAAACGTCGAAGGCATGTATCCACTTCAATGATTTGTACCAACTATACTCCACATATTCAAAACCGCAGGTAATCTAGTTACAGCAGGCTTAGTAATTTCAAGGTCTATCATGTCACATTCAATAGATTACCAGGTGTATCTATATCCATTTCTCCACATATATAATAGACCAAAGGTTTTGGGTATCTGTGCGCACTTCCAGCGCTTTTAGTCGAGACCCGCACTCATGGCGTTCGAGTCGCGTGAGCTGCGCGTGTTGTCGCGCTTGCGCTCCCTGTGTGGCTCTGACGTCCACATCGTCTATCGCAGCCTCGCACCTCGCCTGGAAGCCCTGCACCGCGCTCTCTACGGGCCCAACGATGGCGACGAGTCCGCGTCAGACGACGAAATGGACTTGTTGGCGGTCCTCAGCCGCCGCAGACACCAGGAGACGGCGCTCAAGGCGCTCCTGCACCAACTGCAAGAACTAATTGGGGAATCAGACGAAATAGAGACGATAGAGGAAGATTGCAGTGAAGTTTTGCTGCAGGGTGAGGTGCGGGGCGTGCTGCCGCTGCTGCTGCAGGCTCCGAGGAAGAGCAGGGAGGTGCACTGGATGCACCTGCAGATAGACGCGTTGATAGAGGGGGGAGAAGGAGGAGACGCAGAGGAGGAGAAGCAACAGGAGAAGATTGCGTGGCAGGAAAGCTGGCAGGAGGACTACAGGGAGCAGCTTTCGTTCTTTCGAGAGTTTTTGAGCGACGAGGAGAGGCTGCAGAGCGAGGTGGAGGCGATGGAGGAGGGCGAGAGGCATGAGCTGCTGACTTCGTTGCAGTATGAACGGAGGAAGTTGCGGGATGCAGAAGATGCGGAGTTGATGCCGCTGGAAGAGCAGGAGTTGCTGGACCACGCTGTTGTTGAAGTGGCACGAGTTGGTGGACTGGAGGTTGAAGCTGTGCCTGACTGGTTCGTGCCGAGATACGAGGTGCGGACTTTAGAAGGAGGAGAGACTGAGGTGGAGCGCGTGGACGGCGAGTGGAACGGACTCCAGGTTACGCTGGAGTACGAGCAGGATATGCCGGACTTGGAGAGCTTTGCCGAGAAATGGCACGGCGTGACGGATCCGTATGTGGTGAAGCTGCACGGAGCGTGTCATGTTGGAAGCACGCCGTTTGTTATCTACGAATCGTTGTGGGGCTGTATTCCGTTGCTTGACTACACGAGTGGTGTCCACAATACCCGCAAGTTGTGGAAACGGCTATTAGAAGTGGCTCGAGGACTCCAGCATTTACACAACGAGAAGATCGTGCACGGCGGAATCAGCACCGCATGCATATTGATTGGGAGCAATGGAAAGGCGAAGGTGAAACCAAGTGTATGCAGTGCTGAGCAGGAGAGTTCGGGTGTTACTCCTTCGATGGAGAGCGATGTGTACGCCTTTGCCGTCGCCATTCTCGAAGTTGTTAATTCCCATTTCTCCAACGTTTCCGACCTCTTCGACAGTAGCTTATCGAGCATCGAAGAGGATGGAGAGGAGCTTGGAGGTGTAAACAACGCGGCCTGGACGCTGATCAACAGCATGACGTCAGCTGAGCCGTGTGAGCGTCCAGATATGACTCGTGTGGTGCGAGCTTTAACGAACCTGGCGGACCGCGAGCGTACGTGGAGCGACATGCACTTCCCCGAGTTACTGCTGCATGCCCCAGACGTGTGGACTGCGCTTCGTGCTGCGAGTCAACGCCACGAAAATGGAGTTATTATGTGTGCTCGCGTGCTTGCTCGCCTCGAGCAGGTGCTAGCTCGGCTGTGGGATGAGGGACTCAGCTTTGCGGACGGAGAAAACGTGGAGTACAATTGGCAAACGCGCACCGAGCACTTGATACGTAGCATGCGTTATCTCACAAGACACTATTTACCGTCTAGTGACCACCGCGAGCTGTCGAAAGTTGCTCTGACGCGTCGATTTACTGACGAGATTAAGCAGATTCACTATCAACTAGACGCTTTACTGGTCGAGTTCGACAGCGAGAGTCTATTCCCTGATTTAAGCCCTAAAGATGAGACTTCCAGCCAGTCTACTGAGGACTGGGAGCTGCAGTGGGAGTATGACTGCGGAGATTTGGTGACTGCGTATCATAAATTTCTCGATGGGCTAGAAGGAGAACCTGACCGAGAAGAAGAACCCGATTCGGCTTCAGTTCTGAAAGCAGAAGTGGCTACGGAGGCTATGGCGCTCATGAAGCATGAGCTAGACAACTTCCGCTACGCTTTTTCAGATGCGCAGCTGGAGCTGATAGTGCGGGGTTTCGATATATGCGCCCAGCTCGTAGGAAATGAGATGGTGCTTTCTTCGCCAGAGTGGTTTATCCCAGCGTACGAGGTTCGAGATGAAAGCTGGTGGGAAGGTGTTCGCGTCAAGGTACAGAGAGCGAGTGAGGTGTTCCCCCACCAGAACTCAAGAGAGCTATGCGAAGTTGTCTTGCGGCAAGCTGACATTTGGTCCGAGCTCGTTCACCCTCACATTGTGGAGCTTTTTGGGGCGTGCCACTTGGGGTCATCACCATTCTTCGTCTTCGAGTGTGCTCGAGGGGGTTCGTTGAAGGAGTTCGTTACGAGGTACCAGGCCGCATTTGGGGCAGCTGCCAAGCCGCCATCGCATCTGTGGCGACTACTTCACGAGGCCGCGTTGGGACTGCAGTACCTCCATGAACGTGATATCGTGCACGAGAAGCTTTGCTGTGACAACATTGTCATCGTCATGGAGAAGCCTTCCTATCCTTCATACAGGGATAAAGCCCCTAGACAGTTGAAGAAGAGAAGGCCTTCCCGCGATGACAAGACCTTACGAGAAGTAGCAAAGCTGAATGGGCTCCAGTTTGTACCGTTGCGAGACCAGCGCTTGGTTCACGACTGCTTGGCTACACAAGAGGAAGATGGCTCCAGCTCGGATCAATGGCTGGCACCAGAACGCAGGAATGGCAACGTAGTACCAAGACAGCCCTCGTTAGCATCGGACATTTACAGCTTTGGTGCGGTCATTGTTGAAGCATTGACTCAAGGCATTGGGGTGGCTTGCAGTGGGCTCAATGACGGTGTACTTAGCGAAGATGAGCAACTTTTCGAGCATCTACCTGTGCAGCAACGTCATGACGCGTGGGAGCTCGTGAAGAAAATGTGCGCTCAGCAACCGGAACTTCGTCCAACCATTTCCCATGTCGTACAGCAGCTCGGAAGTTTGGCAAAAGCGCACTCGAAAGATCGGCCCGGCAGCTGCCATTTGCGCGAAGAGGCTGATGAACGGACGAGCTTAGCGGACGATTCTCAACCGGTTGACACTGAGAGCGAAGGCGTGCCAGTTGCAGACATCATCATACCCAGCGAACCAAAGCCTTTGACGATCCCACAAGTGCTGCAAGCATTGAACTCACAAATCCTGGAATCGGCGGAAGGAGAAAATGCTGATATTTCAAACTTGGAGGCGAGCAGTGGAAGTGACTTAAATTTGCAGATCTTAATGCGACTTCAAGACATCTACCAGCGCCTGTGCGAAGCCGAATTGAGTGCAGACGAAGAGAGTGACGGCACCGATGACAACAACCTGTCGACCATCGCATCTGACTTCGTGGAGGCGCTTGTGCAATTCCGAGCGCACGTTAACGCTAGCCGCACAAGAAACCGCGTCACTCAAATCGCGGCAATCCGTCAGCGTGCCTCCGACAAGTTCTCCTTCCACAAGGAACTTGACGACTTGCTGGAAAGACTTCACGCGTATCAACCGACGGAGAACTTGAAAAACTCACAGATCCACGACTGGAAGTGGCAATGGTACGCCAAGCGCGCTCGACAAACCGAAAGTTTCGAGTGGACGCTGATCAAACCAGAGGCTGTCGAGTTGCTGCTTGACGAGCTGCAGTACGCCCACGACCGCGAAGAAATGCTGGCGTTCTTGCGCTTTGAAGTCACACGCCACCGCTCGAGTTACACGCCTGCCCAGGTCGAAGCCATAGGCGCAACGTGCACGGACATCTCTCGTCGGCTGTCAGATCCCGTAGCGATGTCTGGAGGTGGCAAGCATCCAGGTGGTTCCCACTTCCATCTATGGCGACCTCCAAAGTGGTTTATCCCGCCTTATGAGGTCGAGTTCGACCCTCACGAGTCGCTAGGGCACGGCGCCTTTGCTTCGGTTCACATGGGGAGGTGGCTCGGCACGCCGGTGGTCATCAAGAAGCTCGTGCCAGCGCAAAACAGCCCAAATAACGGCGCTGAGCCCCAGTCCAGCGTCGTGTTCTACCGGGAGCTGAGCATCTGGTCCCGACTCAACCATCCGTACGTGGTCAAGCTCTACGGCGGGTGCCACGTTGGCGGTCAACCTTTCTTCGTGTGTGAACACGCCAGCAACGGACGTCTGGACGCGTATCTGCATCGGTTCGAAGCCAAAAGTCTCGGCGAGGGCAGTGCAGGCACCAGCAACTACAGCAGAGACCGATCGACGTCGACAACCAGCGGAAATGCCAGTGGCTTCAGCCGTAGCACGTCGAACACCTCAAGTGCCGGGTATTCGGTGGAGAGCGCAGCCAGCTACCGACGCTGTGAAGCGTGGCAAAAGCTGCGTCAGAGCGCGCTCGGGTTGCAGTATTTCCACCAACACAGCATCGTGCACGGGGATCTCAAGTGCGACAACATCCTCGTGGCTGCGGACGGCACGGCCAAGCTCACAGACTTCGGACTCAGCACAATACGCCGCTACGTCACCGACGAGAAGGAACGCAGCGCTGATTCATCCGTTGTGGGCGCTCAGAGGTGGAAGGCTCCGGAGTGTTTAGCTGGTGAACCACCCAGCTTCGAGTCCGACGTGTACTCGTTCGGCATGTGCGTGCTTCAGGCGGTGAGCGGTGAGTTCCCGTGGGGTTCTCGGATGCCCGACGCTGCCGTCCGCTTCCACGTGCGACGTGGCGTGCTGCCTCCGCGACCCAAGGGCTTCGAGGACGACGCGCACTGGGACCTCATCCGACAAATGTGCTGCTTCGACCCTCAGCAGCGTCTCAAGCTGCCCGTGGTCGTGCAACGCTTGACTCGCTTCGCGGACCTGGAGGCGCGTAGACAACGCGGAGGAGTCGGCGTGCACATGCGCGAGCTGTTGTTCGGAGGCTCCGCCACGAGTTAAGCTAACTCAGCGTCAGTGTACGTGGGTCTTCTGAGAGATGCAGGAGGCGGTCAAACGAGAAAGCGATACCATTGCCAGGACAGCGATTCCGCCTCTCCGGTCGGAGGAACGGCAACGGAGCCCTGTTGCCTTGCCGCGTAAACGAACGAACATGATCAGAGCCGGGCACTTGGGAGACCACATGGATGTGTTACGGCGACAACGCGAGCAAATCCCGCCACCTTTGTGGCTGGAGACCCGCTCGAGAGGACAACTCAAGACTTTCACCTTGGCGGCACGACGGAGACCGAGTCCGCGCCGTCGCCGTTGCCATCACCTTTCCTGCCAATGCAGTAAACAGTGATGACAGGAAGCGCTACATGTTACTGAAGCACGTGCCAACACCACATCGCCCGCATCCCTGCCGTCCCATGGTGAGCAGACTTGGCGTTGCCTACGCTGCTTGGAGACCAGACGCTGCTCTCTCGGCAGCTGGCACCACAACATCGCCGGCAGGTGGTACGGTTAATACACTTGTCTGGGTGGGAAGTGGTCTCACTTGAGGACGAATGACACGGTACAATACCCTCGACAAGGTGACTTGCCACCATTTTTGGTGTTTGATTCTTGATTTTCGCGAACCTAGCCGGCGCCATGTTGACGCAGCGCAAGCCTCTGCATCGAATTTCCATCTTCATGATGGGGCTGCTCCATTCGCTCGGTCCGCCCCAAAGGCTCTGAAAGGTTTGGTCGAATATTTGCCGGCGAGCAACGGCGCAGTTTTCTCGCCCCCCAGATGGGCTCGCCGATCGCGGTGGCCGATCACCAGCGTGCAGAAGCGAGTCGCGCCGTAGCGCGAATTGTGCAAGGTGTCGGGCAGCCGCAAGTCCCCTACATCTGACTCTCCTCCTGCTGGTCTCTAGGCCCAGTGCCAACACATTCGACCATTTCCGCCGACACGACAGCGTTGCGGCGGACGTGATCGAGCTCTGCGTGACTCGAAACCAGGGAGACTTGATCGCAATCATCCGCAGCTAGAGGCGGATACAGGACAGGCAGGACACGCAGGCAGGTTCTCGACTACAGGACAGGGGAGCAGCTTCGCTGGGAATTGAGAGAGAGAGAAGAGAGAGAGAGAGAGAGAGAGAGAGAGTGTGGAGCTTTCGACGCTGCTGGGACCATGCAAGTCCACCGACGTTGGCTCAAGCTGGCGCTCGTCGCGGCCGCGCTCATGCACGCGCTGGCGGACGCGCAGGTGTACACGATGGAGAGCAACCTGGACGGCTCCGACACGGACTCGGGCTCGGACTTGACGGTGGTGCGAACGCCGACGCCGACGGCGAAGCGACCGACGAGGACGTGGATCCCCATCACGGACGCGCCCTCCTCGGACTCGTCGGAGACGACCGACACCGACACGCCGGCGTCGACCCCGAGGGTCAAGAGGACGCCGCGCCCCACGACGAAAACCCCGCGCACGACGGAGCCGCCGGCGACGAGCGACAGCGAGACGAGCTCGAACGACCAGGAAACGACGTCTGACGAGAGCTCAGACGGCTCGGAGACGACCAGGAAGACCAAGAAACCCACGACCAAGAAGTCGTCCGACTCGGAGTCGACGACCGAGTCGGTATTGGAGTCGACGGGTGAGTCTGGCTCGGAGGAAGCGGAGGAGTCTACCGACGCGTCGGGGGGCTCTACCCCCACCACTAAGAAGAAGAGCATCTTCACCAGGTCGCCCTACCTCAAGCAGACGACGCCCGTGCCCAATGGAATCCCCACTGCCGACGACGAGAGTAGCTCGGAGGAGTCGGCGTCGACCACCGAATCGGAGACCGACACGACCGCTGAGTCGAACTCGGAAGACTCTGGCTCGGCGTCCAAGACGACCAGGCCCAAGACGACCAAGACCAGCAAGACCAAGAAGAACTCGTCGGATTCTGCGTCAGGCTCGGACTCGTCGGCAGCCACTGGCAAGAAGACGTCCAAGTCCAAGTCGTCCAACTCTACCAAGGACAGCTCGGAAACTGGAGCTTCCGGCACTGACCAGACCGACCAAGCTGACCAAGCTGACCAAACCGACAGCGCCACCACCCCGTCATCGAACTCATCGAAGAGTTCATCGTCGGCTTCGACATCGGCTTCGGGCTCGTCGTCCGCCGCGTCCGTCATGACCGACTCGGCGTCCTCCGGCAAACCGAGCACGAACACGTTGATGCTCGGCCTCATGATGGGAGGCGCCGTGGCGCTCGTCATGCTCGTGGCCGTGTTCGTCTACATCAAGACGTCCAACAAGGACGAGGAGGACGATGACATGGACCCCGTTCTGCGCACGGCCCGGCACGACGCGAGCAAGGGGACCACCGCCCAGACGTCCACGCTGAACGCCAACTACCACGACAACAACATGTCCCCCATGCAATACAGCGACGACGACTACTACCCGAACCACCACCAGCCCCACCACAGCGGCCAGCACGACCAGGACCCGTACGGCCACCACCACCAGGGCCAGCAGTACAACAACGACTACTTGACGCCGCAGAGTCAGATCGCGCTCGCGCAGACCAACATGTCGTTGCCGCCCATGGCGCAGACCGGCAACAGCCACGCCGACAGCCAGTACTCGCAGTACTCGGCCGAGTCGTCCTTCTACGCCAACAGCACGTACAGCGCCAACCCGTCCACGGTGAGCCAGGTCGTCAACAAGTACCCGGGCATGCGCCAGGGCGGCGAGAACGACGTGGCCGGCTCCGAGGAGGAGGAGAGCGACTTCGAGGGCGACTCGATCCACGACATGGCCAACACGCAGAACGAGTGGAACACGGCCGGCCGCCGAGGCACCGCGGCCAGCGGCATGGACCAGTCCACGGTGGGGGACTCTCGCTTCTATCCGAGCGACACGCGCTCCACTGCAGCCAGCGGCTACCACGGGGGCAACAGCCAATTCGCAGAGTCCGAGTACACGGAGTACCGCATGTCCACCGGCTACGAGAACAGCTACGTGAACGGCGGCCAGAGCGGCTACGACCAGAGCTTCGCCGCCAGTCAGAGTGGCTACGACCAGAGCTACGCGGGCCACAAGAGCTTCGAGAGCAGCGGATTCAGCGAGTACGAGACTGCCGCCCCACCTCGTGGCCGCGGTGACAGCACCAACAGCGACGCGTCCTCGTTCTACCGCACCAAGGAGTCGTCGTACTACTAAGTCAAGGTGAGACCATCAAGTCGCCAAGTCCAAGTAAAGTGCCCCCAAGACATCGTACAGTGGAGCGAGTGAGTTCAAGGCGACGGAGTGATGCGAGGTGCATCAGCAGCTCAAGTGCATGCGCGCTCTTGACGGAAGAGAGTGGAGCTACACGACGCACGTGCTGAGTCATTTTCAAGTGGAAGGAAGGAAGCAATGGATGGATGGATGAATGGAGCTGATGGGAGGTACAGAAGTTCTTCTCGTCTACTTCAGTCTCGTGCTTCGAGTAAGTAGCGTCGGAATGAATGGAAACTAATTTATGAGTTCGCTGCAGCAAAAAAGGCAACAAGCATGTTTTGACCCCAATCATGTTGATGTAGCCATGTTGCTTTTATCCAATCCGACGTGGAGGATCAGTCCAGGGTGGCTACACTAACCTGCACAATCTTATCCGTACGGATTTATCGTAATCTGCACGACTAAAACCTAAGTTTTCCAGCCCGAAGTTAGGGGCGAAGGCCCCACGTGCTGGTTGCATGGGTGTTGTTCAAGCTACAAACGCCGAGACAATGCCATTTCTCTGCTGCTGTATTACCATGGTGTTAATACCTTCGTCGCCGACGTGTTTGCAACGATCGGCTTGAGCTGCGAGACATTCCGGTCTCGCCTTCCAGGTTCAAGTCGCCGCATCGCAGCAAACATAAGCCTTTGGGACGAGTGGGTTGCAACAGTGCTAGACGGTCGCAAGTGGCTTTCTTGTGGACAAATACAAGCCGATGCATTTCACCATTCCGCGTCGTCACGCGTTGTAAGAAATAAAACCTGCGTGACGACATCTAAAACCAGGCGAGACTTGTCTTCGTGTGCTTCGCACGTCGGAGCTACTTGCAGCTCAACTTGCCGCCATGCGGTCGCCATACTGCGGTATCTGCCCGCAAACGACACGGCAACGCTGCCACCTGGCCGCCCCATTTCGTCATGTGTGTGAGCTTCCACCAATAGTGAAAATAAGACAAAACGACAGTACTCCTTGCACCTGCGAGAACTTATACCCGACCCGCCATCTGCTGTACCGCTTTTGCCGATACCATCTTTTTTCCTTTCGAGCCGGCGGCAGAGACTCGACCGGCCGCAAGTCTCCGCTCTCCATCTCCCTATTGCCTCGCGCTGGCGAGTTTAGCACCACTTAAACGCGGCGGCAACAGCTCAGCGGAGAAGGAAGCAGAGAGAAGGAGGGAAGCAAGGCAACGCGGCAGCAGGAGAGCTTAGAGAGGCACACACAGCGAGATCTTTTTCCACCATGTCGGGACACGGCCAGGGGCAGGATGTGCAGACGCTCAAGATGAAAGGTGCGCGGCAACAGCATTCTCTAACCAGATAAGGGAACGCGCTTAAGCTAGTGCTAACCTGCGTCTTATCTCTCTCTATCTCTCTCTGGCAGCGGCGAGGAAGCACGACAACGACTACGAGCGCCGCCGCTCGTCCACGCTGCGGCTGGAACCTCCTCGTATGTGGCAATATCCCTCCACTCTCTATGATCGCCTGCAAAACTTTAGGCTAGTGCTAACCGTTTAGCACTAGCCTATCCTGTGCCAATAATTATTGTACTAACCATTTCGTTCCTCGTGCCAATATTCCTCTTCAGAATCGGACTCGCGCAAGGCCACGTCCTTCGTGCGTGCGCGCACCTCGGGCGTGAACCGCCTGCTCCGCTCCAACACGAGCAGCACGGGCGTCCTCTCCAACGGCAACAGCAACAGGAGCAGCAACAGGCACAAGAGCAAGAGCAAAAGTGCGCCGACCAGCAAAACCCCTCATGAGGAATACGACACTGCACTTGCCGAGCCGGTCAACGAGAGCGCCGTGGAACCTCCTCCGTCGCCGACTAAATCGGGGTCGTGCACCTCGTCACCCCCAATTAGTAATGGACTCAACGGAGAAGTAGACGAGGACGGCCTCCCGCCCTACCAGGAGCAGAAGTGGACCCACGTGGTGCTCAAAATGACGGCCTTCTCCGAGGAGGACGCCGTCACGAGCTTTCGCTTCGACACTGCCGGCGGAGGCATCGGCCGCAGCGCCGACAATGCCGCAAGCATCCCGGCCGACAAGCTGCTTGCCGGTAAGGACCACGCGCGCGTGCTCTACAGTGGAGGGCGGTTCTACCTTGCGAACGGAGACAACTCCTGCGACACCTTCGTCCGACTCAGTCCGTGTGGAGCAGGAGCTGAAGAGGACGACCCCGAGGACAGGATGCAGTGGCCGCTGGAGCCGCACGTGTCGTTCCGTGTCGGCAAGTCGGACTTTTTGGTGACGGCGTTCCACGAGCCGTCACAGACGCTGTCGGTGTCGGCGCTGAGCGGCAAATTGGCCGGCTCGCAGTTCACTATTGGGAGGGAGGGCGCGGGCATCGGCCGCTCGGCGGAGAACAAGATCCACACGGGGGACGGCGAGCTGTCCCGCAAGCACGCGGCCATTTGGTTCGACGAGCTGACCAACCAGTTCTACCTGGTGGACCTGAATTCTACCAACGGGACGTTCATGAAGCTGGTGGGGAGCTACCAGGAGCCGTACCGACTGGAGATCGGCGACGATCTACTCGTGGCGCAGACGTGTCTAACCGTCAACCGCTTCGACTTCGGCGCGCACGCCGACATGGGCGCGCGCAAGCACATGGAGGACGCGCACACGATCATCCAGGACCTGTGTATCGAGAGCTTGAGTCGGCTGGGCATGCACCCGCAGTCGTACTTCGCAGTGTACGACGGCCACGGAGGAGAGGAGGCCTCGGCCTTCCTGGGGGACGTCCTACACCACAACATCATCGAGGAGTTCTACATGAAGAAGGCGGAGCTCAAGACGCTGCTCGACACGTCGCAGGAGGAGCTGCAGTCCATGATCACCAAGCGGCTGACCGACGCCTTCGAGCGCACGGATGAGGAGTTCCTGAACGAGTCGGAGAGACCGCAGGCCGGCAGTACGGCCACGACGGTGTTCGTTGCCGGCAAGTTCATGTTCGTGTCGAATGTCGGCGACTCCCGGACGGTGCTGAGTCGCGCCGGCAAGGCCGAGCGCTTGTCGAACGACCACAAGCCCAGCCGGCCGGACGAGGCCCAGCGAATCCGCGATACCGGTGGCTTTGTCATTCACGGACGCATTATGGGCGAGCTCGCGGTCTCTCGTGCGTTCGGAGACGTGCCGTTCAAGACGTTCGACCTGCCGGAACCCCCCAAGGAGGAAGCCGACTCGGACAAGCCGCGCAGCGACTACGACTCGCAGGAGCTGCCGGTGAACCCGAACGACATCCTCAAGGGCCCGCTGGTGATCCCCACGCCCGAGATCACGATCACGGAGCTCACGAACGACTGCGAGTTCGTCATGCTGGCCAGCGACGGACTGTACGACGTGCTCAAGGACCAGGAGGCGGTCGACTTTATGCGCCAGAAGATCGTGCAGCTCAAGGACGTCCAGCGCGCAGTGGAGGTGCGTCGTTTTGGGGAGGATCTATGGATGGAAATGTCGTGCTAATTTGTTGTGACTTTATGGTATTGTGCAGGCTATCGTGGAGTACGCGATCTTCCACCAGCGCTCGACGGACAACGTGACATGTGTCGTGGTGATGTTCAAAGAGCCCAAGGACCTCAAGTGATAAACGCACCGACTGTACTGCCACCAGATCACACAACTCTCTCTAGTGCTTTGCCACAGAGGCTAAGCAGTACAGAGAGGCGTGGACTGAACTGGAGATCTGGCTGGTGGTGGGGCGTCGGGAGGTGGGGGACATAGATGAATAGTTATAGGAGTGACGAGGACGTTTTGAGAAGGGGGCAGGGTTCCAGCCGAACCGTGGATGATGATTCAACACAAAACAATAAACTGAACAGCTTGATGGATGTTAGGAATGGGGAATTCGCATAGATAGAGAAGAAGAAGAAGAGAGAGAGAAACGATGCAAGGATCAAGAGATAGCAAGTCAACGTCTACTCGAGGCTGAGCTTGGTGGGTGAAGACGTGGCGTGGCGCAGTGGCGAGTTCGAGGTCATCTTCATCACGGGTGAGAACTGTTCCGAGGCGGAGCGCAGTGGGGCGATCGGCGGGGGACACGCAGCCGCGAACGCCTTGATGTGGCGGCATCTGCGCATGGTTTTCTGCTTGGAGCGGCTCTCGAGCACCGAGACGTGGCTCCCATCGTCGAAGTCGAAGTGCACCTTGTACGTGCGCGTATCGACATCCCCACTGTACTCGCCCGCAGCTTCGACGCGGATGTTGGTGATGTGGCGCATGTCTCGCTCCACTACGCGCAGGTGGCGCGTGCTCAGACACAGCGGCTTGTTGGAGCGCACCGAGAGTCGAGACAGCTCCTTGTTCATGTAGAAAGTCTCCACTCGTCCATTGGCGATGAGCACGAAGCCCAAGACGTAGATGGCCACAGCCACGAGATACTTCCACCAGTCCGTGTGATGGTGGTTACCTCCTCCAATGTCGTCGTCGCCTCTCTGACTGTGGACGCTGTGGACGAAGACCGAAGCTCCGAGCATGATCAAGACGCCGAAAGTCCAGATCGGCCACGGATAACTCACGACCTGAAGCTGCATACAGATCATTGAAAAATATGGTAAGTTTTTGGAGAACTTTGGCATTTTAGCTAAAAAGTATTGGTTTTTGGAGCGTACCTCTCGTCCGAAGGTGCTGTTGGTGCCAAAGAGGTTGTCGAACTCGAGTTCGTCGTCGTAGGCCTGGGTCTTGGCGTTCCAGCGCATGCTGCTGCGTCGCAGTCGCTTGGAGCGCTTCTTCATGGCCACACGCCAGCGTTCGAGTTGTTTGAAGGCGAGTCGCTTCTCCTTGGTCATGGGCTGCTCCTCCTCTCGCCGCGAGTTGCGGGACATCGCCTCGTCCTCCACTTCGGCTGTGCTGATCACTTCGATGTCGTTGTTGTCGTCCAGGTCGTTGACGTCGCTCACGGAGATGGAGCGGAACTGGCCCACGTCCTGCTGCTCGAGCTTGGACGTCACGGTCGGACCGCGAAGCTTCGTCGGAGACGGCGCCATAGCGGCCTCAGTCTCAGTTGCAGCTTTTGGTATCACTCTCGCGCCGGCTTTCGAGCAGAGAGCAGAATGACAAGTCTCCTCGCTCTTCCAGCAAGCAAGCAACCGCCCAGACAAACGGTAATTTTGGACACTTATGTGCGGGGAACTTTGGAGCGCGAACTATTGTTGCTCTGAGTAGGAACTCGCCTATTGTTGGCAGTCAGTAGTATCTGATCGATCTCATGGAAGTCGTGGTCTGCACTGTTGAGATGGATCACTTTCACTTTCCAGCTTCACTTGTTAGTTGTTATGGATACGCATTACCGTTATCCTATCCAAGATCGAATCTTCTCAACCGGTCATCACTTTTTGCGAATGCTTCACGGTAGATTTTTAAATGGGTCTTATTGACAGGCTCCGATGCGGTGGGGCCTGCCGTAGCGAGAGTGCGTGTAGTTGTTGTGGTTGCTTGCTTGCTTTTGGGTAAAATGCAAAGTGAGATTGATGCCTTTAAGTCTTCGGGCTAGCTACGGGCTCTAGGTCTTCCTCTTGCTTTCTCCTTAGTGTCGTTCTAGAAGCTGAGCTAACCTATACTAAATGCAAGTGTTTTTCTGTTTTCGTAATCCTATATATGCATGTTTGTATACTTGTGCAGGTAGAGTTCTGGATTCCGGGCGCCAGGCAGTCTTGCGCAAGCCTGGCGCTAGCCTTCAAGCGACACTGCGCGCAAGCTACTTGTGGCGGAGGAGGAGGCGGCGGCGCTGCGACGCCTGACTCCCTAGCCACCAGGTACGTATTCCTTGAGCATGTCTGTTGCTGGCGTACCCGCTTGCGTGGGTGCCAGCAGCAGACATGCTGCATCATGACATCCCCCCGGACTTTTAACCGCGTTGGCGCTGTTGACGGAACTTGTGAAGAAGTTCACGCCAGTGCGATACACGATTGAGCTTGACCTCGTACTGTTTTCCAAATCGGGAAGTCCGTGCCACTTGACCAGCCAAAGCCGTTTGTTGTTGCGCTGTTTCTGCTGGAGCAGAGCCTCTGGGCAATGTAGTTCTTCGTCGGTTTCATCGTCGAGGAGTACTGGTGCAGACTTGGGCAAAGGTCGCGACGCGAAGCGTTGAGGGTTCGGAACGTCATGCTTGAGGAACTCAACATTGATACTCGGGTGAAGGCGACTCATGTGGCGTGGTAGCTTGAGCCGTGCTACGTTGGAGTTGATCATCTTCTCGATTTCGAACGGGCCGATGTACCTCATCGTTAACTTCTCACGGTTGAGCTCCGTGTTAGCCGTGACGCGCTTGAGTGGCAAGTTACGCGTGTCCAGCAGGACAAGGTCGCCTTCCTTGAACTCCACGTCTCGGCGCTTCCTGTCATAGTACTTATTTTGACGTTCTTGAGCTGCCAGGAGATTCTTGCGCGCCAATTCAATGATCTTCTTGCGTTCTTCAGCAAACTTCTGCTCAAAATCAACTAGCGGGACATCTTCATCACGAACTTCACCAGGTGTGCTCTGGGATACCAAGTTCCTGACCTTGCGTCCTGTGTCCACTTCGAACGGTGTAAGCGTTGTCGAGGAGCTCTCCAGCGTCGCATATGCGTACTCGATTGTTCCCAAATGCGTAGCCCAGTCTCGACCCCATGCACCGTAATGCATTTTCCAAGACCAGGTTCTGACGCTCAGTCTGTCCATCCGCTTGGGCTCAATATGCCGTGGTGAACGACAACTTGACCCCCATGATATCCATGATCGACTTCCAAAACTTCGATGTGAACTTGGGGTCTCGATCGCTGATGATCACCTTCGGCAGACCGTGATGACGAACGACTCCTTCAAAGAAGATTCGTGCTACCTCTGGGGCATCTGCCGTCGTATGTGTCGGAATATACTTGAGTCGCTTGGACAGTTGTCCACCACTGTCATGATTGCATCGAAGCCATTGGAAACAGGTAGCCCTGTCACGAAGTCCATAGTCACTACTTCACAACACTCACTCGGAACTGGAATTGGCATCATAGTGTCTTTCTTGCGTGCGGTACTTACTTTCTATCTAGCACACGTCCCACAGCTTGCCACGTATTCCTTCGTGTCCTTCTCCAACGTGGGCCAGAAGTACCACTGAGCAACCCTCAACTGCGTTCGACGGATTCCAGGATGAGCTGCCGTATGTGCATCATGGAATTCTTGCAAGATGTTCGTGATCAGCCGAGCGTTATTGGGGACACACAGCCTCATGACTAAATGATCCGAACACTTGTACAGAAGACCATTCGATTTAACGAAGTCTGCAGATTTGTTCGGTCGGTTCCATGATTCTTTGAACGCGGGGTCTCGCTTGTATCCAGCTTGGAACTTCTTCTTCTGATCTTTGCTTAACAGTACCTCCAAATAACAACTTTACAGTAATGGTCGCATGGGGTGGAACGTGCTTGGTCGATAACATCGGAATCGGCTCCGAATTTTTTTTTTAACGGTACCGTGATGAAGACCAACTTTAATTGATACTAACAACTGGAATTCGTCCCCCAAGAGTGGACAATGCGTTCACAATGCGTGCACTCCGAGTGCACCTTGACGCCTATAGTAATTGACATGTTTAACGTTTGGCTGAAGAGTCACGGTGAAAAGTCGCAGTATTTATACGGGAATGAGCACAATTTCTTGTTGCACTCCTGAACGAAGGTGACCGCGCGCAATGCAGCTAGCCGGCCCCCGATTTCCACACTCTACCATATTACACGAGCACTTCTACCGCATCGCCTCCATGCAGCCATCTACCACTTTGTATTAGTTATTCAACTGTCAGCAGTCTATCACTTGGACCCCCTGTCTATCCCACTTCAACTGTATTGCCAACGCTTGCTGATAACTACGAGGGTCTAGCCCAAATAGCGTTACGATGATGCGAGCCAGTAGCTCCAACAATGCCCATGGTAGAAAATGATGCAAAACTGAGGTCTCAAGGCTCAGCATATCGGTATACACAGTTACCGTAGATTTCTGCATTGCAGAGTTTGTGTGAGATGTGGCTACGGACCTAAGCAGCAATGAGCACGACCACAACGCCAAGCAGCAGGCGCAGCGCGAGGAGGCCACGCTGCCACCCGACTTCGCTGTGGACGCGGAGGTCGAGGACGGAGACTCCGAAAGGTGCGCCAACTTGCTCGAGCGCAGTGGATACATCACGAACTAATCGGAGTTGGTGTCTTTGTATGTGGGCTGTGGGCTATGGTTGCGGGAACTAAGCAGCAATGAGCACAATTTTGACACTGAAGAGTGTGTACCTCTCGTTGCGTTTGTTACATGAGGGGCTATTTGATATTTTTGTGGTGGTAGAATAGTTACCATGGTGATGTATTCAGTTAGCTGAGTTGTAGATAATATTCAAATGGTAACGTTGAACAAAATACTGGAAACTAGAAAATTCATCCAGTTTTCTGGCGCTTGATGCGGTTGACTCGGTTTCTAATGGTTGCATCTTCGACTGATTGGGCTTGAGGGAACGCAGTACGAAAGTGTTGTATTGCTTGAGCGGCAAGAAGATCTGGATAGGAGTCCATAAGCCGGTTGATGAATGTTACGTAGGTACTATCCATGATTTTACGCTTTGAGCTCCGCTTCCCAGGCGGATTCCCCTCAGCGGACGATCCTGATGCATTTCGAACGGGATTTTGCGAGTCCTCCTGGTGCACGGTTTCTTTTTGGGCTTTCATCAATTTGGAAATTTCGGCTCGAATTTGACTGCTGCTGGGAAAATCGAACCGCCAGGGATACTTCTCCTGTATAGACTCGAGCATCCTTCTAGGACCGAGTTTGTCAGACTTATTCGCCACACCTTGTTGAAAGAGACGCGCGATATCGGCTTTATAGAAGGCAACGTAATTGGCTCCGTACATGCATCCTTTGGCGGGTCGCCTTGCCCAACCTTGCTCCAGAATAACCAGCACATCCTCACTTCCAGTGTATTCACGCACCAATTGTATCATTTTAGACGCTAGTTCTGATGACTCAATCACTGTGAGATCTCCGGCGTGCTTCATCACCAACAAACTGCTTCGCGTACACTAAAATATCCTTTTCACTGAATTCAAGTTTTTCCCCGTTCCATGTGGGCGAGATATTAGAGTGGCCGTGGCTGACACTGGGTGGCGTTCGCCTTCTCATTTTTGACGAGGTGATTAGCTCGACCCCAGTAACGAAACCTGTCACTGTTATAGGAGTGATATAGAAACCGACCTCGACTCCACAACACGATCATCGATCTCTAAATCCGACACAAAATCTTCGTCCGCGATCGTATTTTAATCTCGACCATCTAAGCCACGCAACTCATTATCGTCATTACCATCGGCTTCATCTGAGCGCTGATTAACGATTTCTGCGTTCGTCCAGTCATCGCTTTGGCCACTAGCATCTTGGCGATAACACCTCATCGTTTTAGAATCCACTGCGATATGGGTCCCCTCACCAGCTCCAGAATATGCAAAAGCTCGCACGCTAAAATTCAGCGAATCTTCCAAACAGAAGGAGCCAGCAGTCCTCGAAGTATCGTCGGTATCACTTGGAGCTGGGTACTCGTAAAATAGATCATTCACCCGTCCTGTCAACTTACCAAACGATTTTTCCAATGGAGCCAACTCTTCGCGCAATTTTGCTGTAGCGTCCGCTGGTACTCGACTAATTCTGCTATCGCGTTAAATAAACCTTGATCAGCAGATAAGGCATCTACCAGCTGCCTCGGTGTGTAGCAGTCGTTGCCCTGCTGGACCCATGATTATATTTTTATCATTCCTTGAGCAAAGTGGGCGTCGAGCATTGATTTCCCGTCCTGGGTCTCGGTGTGTATGAAGCGGCAAATATTTATGCGGTGCGCTCTCGCAAGTACAGGAAGCATTAGGGCGACCATTGTATTCTGGTAACTAGGAGCGTTATCACTTTGCACCGTGATTCTTGTAACTTTGGGCAGATCGCGCTTGATAGATAGTATGACGGCCTCCAAAAACTCTACAACAGCTTCCCGGTCTTGCTTGTTGTCACCGGCCGAAATGTGATCGAAGTATACTTTGTTCTCGACTGGTACACGCGCATCGTCCTCTCCATTAGATTCCAGAGTCCAGAAGCGAGCCATGGCACCGTGCCACGTCATTCCTCGCTTTCCATAGTGGTCAGTGGTTTTTTCACGAAAGTACATGGGCTCGACTTTCATTTTGAAATCTATCACCAAAAGGATCTCATCGGAGCCGAGACCATCGATACTACGTTGCCGCATATTTTGCAGGATGTCATGAAGTGCCCGCTGTTGGTTCACAACTCGGAGACGATGCCCCATGAACAAATCAAACTTGTGGTAGCAATCCGCTACGACTGCCAACGCTTCCTCGGATGCGTTTCCACATTTTAGATGCTCCAATATCGCGTCAGTTACTTTTTTCAAACCCGTGCAAGCACTACAGCAGGCATTTTGCGTAGGGATGTCTTCAGGTGCGGGGGCTAACAATCCAAAGTGTATCTGGTGACGAGAGCAGGTTTTAGTCGGCACGTACGACTTATCGCGGAACGATTTGTCGACATCGCTAAAACTACCGTATTTCAGCCATGTCTTCACCAGTTGTAGATGCCGGGCGAGGATATCCACCTGATCGGGAAGAAATGTGGTAATGACGCGATTCATTATCTCCATAGTGTCGTTCAATAGTTCCCCGGTCACATAGTCCACCGCTCTACGCGACTGAACTGTGCCATGGGTCAGTACCGAGCATAGCTTGTAGAACGTCGTCCGCTCTAATGTCGTCAAACCTTGCTGGCTAGATTTGTACTGACTAAACATGAGCGATATGCTCTTTTTTCTTGCAATTGATGGGACTTCATACGTAACTCCATCCCGCTGAATGCGCTTGGACCCCCACGACAAAAAAGCAACGTTGTCAGCAGCAAGAATAAATTTGATCGCAGCGTCAGCACATTCATTTTTCACTCTTGCTCTTGACCACGGTTCCTTCCGCAAATTGCCCTTGATGACTAGGTGTTCATATTCATCGATAGCGCGCGAGTATGCTGGACGGCTAATCGAGAAGCGAGGCATGGTTCTAGAAAGAAGCGTAAGACGATGGTATGGTACGGAGGCACACATTACCGCTCGAAGCGTACGTCGCTCAATCGAGTTCTTCTTCGTTGACAATATAGCACGCGCTGAAGAAATCAAAATCATTTCATCACTATCAGCAACCTTAGCTTCTGTTGGAGCTAACCATTTTGCAAACGTGTGAATCGACGCTCCCGCAGCTTCAGACCCACACAATGTCGCCGCGATATAGGTAAGAAGACGTAAATACAATTTCATTATCACTTTTCGCCGTTTCAATTGGTCTGACGTCAACCTGACCTCCGAAGACCACAGAGGCATTGTTGTTCTCACAGATAATCCGGGGAGTTTCTTGGCGATGTATACGACATCATCTTCGCTTTCCCCAAAAAACTTCATCGCAGCTTGCCATGAAGGTAAGCTTCGCTTCGTAGGTGTAGGAGTTAGCGGTGGCGGGCTCAACAAACTTGCGAAATAGCTAGGTGCGGTAGTTTTACGAGTTCTACGGACCGGCGTACATGTATCGGCACACTCAGGGGCAAGATTCGTTCTCCATTTTCATCATCCGAACTTCCACAAACACTTACACTATACAAGCCACTGCTATTGCTGCGACCAGAGATTGACGCCACAAGCGGCGGCGATTCTGGATATCCATCATTCAAATGGGCATTGCCGCCGCAATCACCGTAGCTACCACCCGCATGTGTTTCAACATCATCAGAGCAACCGTATGCAGGAACAACTTCGCTAGAATCGCTGAGATGACGGAAATTCAATTTCTTGCGGACAGGCCGTCCAACTCGGCCGCTCATTTTTGTCGAAATAGATCGTCCGTCGTGCTCACAGTCGCATTTGCTACACTTCAAGCAGTCTTCTCTTCGACAACGAGCGGCATCGCAGCCGCAAGTAATTTTTGGTAGGCGTGCCTGTGTGGAAATATTGGCACAGCCATTGTCAAATCTGGCATGCATGATGCAAAAGCACAAGTTGATGAATTAGTGAACGCTAAGGTCCAACAGGTTTGGTTTGGACAAAACGTACCCTCCATTTGTGCTATCGTCCATGCTGAAACTCGAATCCAGAAGAGTGCCGCAGCTGCCAAAAACCCAGACCAATACGGCGCAACCCACCGCTTCATTACCGAACGCCTGGAGGTTTTGTCTTCTTTTCCGAAACCCAATCCCTCTTTCGGTCTTCTTGACGATGTATTTCAACAAAACAGCGATCGCAACATTCAATACAAGTAACCCAACCGAAAACCAGAACAACCATGAACATATTTGCTCTTCGGCGTGGTGATCGTGCTCATTGCTGCTTAGTTCCCGCAACCACAGCCCACAGCCCACATACAAAGACACCAACTCCGATTAGCTCGTGATGTATCCACTGCGCTCGAGCAAGTTGGCGCACCTTTCGGAGTCTCCGTCCTCGACCTCCGCGTCCACAGCGAAGTCGGGTGGCAGCGTGGCCTCCTCGCGCTGCGCCTGCTGCTTGGCGTTGTGGTCGTGCCCGTGCTGTTCGCTGTATTCGTAAGGGACAAGCACAATTATAGCGTCACATTAGTTGAATCTTCACAGATATATAAATGAGGTAGCCTGACAATACGATAGACCTGGTAATAGCAGATAACTTGGCATAAGTGATGCATTGGGCGAGTTGCGGGTTGCGATCCATGAATCTTCGTAGCCATTTCTGATTCGGAAACGTTGGGGGGATGTCTCCGTCTTGATGGCTCAAAGCAGTTTGCTGTACCAGGTTTCTCAGTTCGGCAAGTTGTATCGGGTGCTTGGAGTCGTTGGCGAGTAGCTTAGCTTGCAGCACACTATCGTGTTCTTCCTGTCGTGTAAGGTAGCTTGTACGTCCACTTGGCTTTTCCAACCTTGGCGAAGCCTTTTACCCGGCGACGCAGTGATGTCGTTGGTACGTTGTGAAAGGCGGCTGCACCCCGCAGGCTTCGTGTCCTTAGCTTAACATCGTGGACAGCAGCGATCCATGTTGGTCTTCCATGCCGTCTCGGGATCTTTGGAAGCCGCTGATATGCGATGTGTACCTGGTGTGGCACAGTGGACCGCAATAATGTCCGCTAGGTACACTTGGTGTGGCACATATCCGCTAATCAGACAGCGGAACACAGGAATAACTGGACGTTTGTATTGCAGCTTTGTCGCCGTCCAGCGGATGAAGAACAAACGCCTGGACCTTGCCACTCTACAATTTCTGTTTTAATGCCGCTATGAGTACGTGGGAGAAATTTGGTATCGGTTTGCGCTTTCGTTGGCGTCGCCGTGTCCAGCCTTCCACCCCTCAGTGTAAAGTTATTATTAGGAGGCACTGTTAAATGTACGCTGGATGTCGAGTACTCGACGTTCTGGACTTGTTCCACGTGAACACTGACTTCTTGCTGAGCCCCAATAGGGCGACTCTCCCCCCGCAAGTCCAGATCGTCGAGAAGAAGACAGCGGTCGTCGGACGGAAGCAAGCGAAGCATTGCTGTGTGGACACTGTGACGTCGAAGCCTCGAAGCCTGATGCGTACAGGATGACGAACAATCATGAACTGCTGGTAACTTCCAAGGCTCGGGCTCGTCTGTAACTTCGTCGTCGGAATCAGTCGCCGGGAGCTGACGTGGACGGGATAGGGCGTCGGCCACGACATTGAGATGACCTTTCACATGATGCATCGTGAAGTCAAATTGCGAGAAGAATGTAAGCATGCGTCCCATTTTAGGCGATACCTGAGGGTGATGCAACATCCAACTGCAAGCTGCATTGTCGGTAAAGACATCGAAGTGCCGGCCGTGAAGGTAGTGGCGCCATTTCTCGAGAGCGGTTTTGATGGTCAAAAGTTCCTGCTCATGTGGAGGCCAGCCAACTTCATGGACATTGAGCTTCTTTGAGTAGAAGGCAATCGGGTGGCTGCTGCCGTCGAAGTCTTGCGAGAGCACACCGCCCATGCATTTACCCGATGCGTCGGTTGTGACCGTGAAAGGTTTCGAGAAGTCAGGCACACGAAGAACAGGAGATTGCTGCAAGGCGAGCTTCAGCGATCGAAAAGTGTCTGCCTGCGCCGGACTCCATTCCCAAGTAGCTTGCTGCTTAGTCAGCTTACTCAAAGGAAGGGCGTGTCGCGCAAAGTCACAGATAAAGCGATGATAGTAGCCAGCAAGACCGAGAAAACTCTGCAGCTCCTTCTTCCTCGTTGGTTCCGGATATTGCTCGAGAGCCCTGGTCTTCTTCGCATCTACGGATAACCCTTCTGCTAACACGGTGTGGCCGAGAAAGCTAACACTCGCTTGACCAAACGAACACTTCGATCGGTGCGCATAAAACTTCTCATGGCAGAGCACTTCAAAGACCGCTTCCAGATGCTAGAGATGCTCTTCTTTGGTCTTGGAAAAGATGCAGATATCGTACAAATAGACCACGACGAAGTCGAACTTGTCAAACAGGACGCGCACCAGTCGTGACCAAACCCCAGGCATACCCGAAAGACCCATCGGAGCGACACACCACTGGTAAGTCTCCTTGTGAATACGAAAAGCGGTGTACTGACGACTACGCGGCTTGACCCGCATCTGGTGGTAACCTTGGGCCAGGTCCAGAACCGTAAACACTGTGCAGCCGACCATCTTGTCAAAGATTGCCTCGATTAGCGGTAATGGAATCTTCGGGATCTTCGTCTGACTGTTGACATAGCGGAAGTCGATGACCCAACGAATCGGAATGGAACTATTCCCGGATCGCAGCCATTCTGCCCGCTTCGGGATTTGACCAGTCGCAGGATCTTTCTTAGGAACACCGAAGATATTGGAGACCCAGGGTGAATTGGAGGCTTCTATCCACCCTTTCTTCGTGTTTTCCGCGACGAACTTTTCCAATGCTTCTTGCTCCGTTTTAGACAGTCGAAACGGTGCTCGGGTGCTAGAAGCGGCGTTTGGCTTCATCTCCATGTCGAACTCGACGATGCGCTCGGGAGGTAGGCCATCTGGCAACGTGTCTGGGAAGACATCACCAAACTTGTCCAGCAAATGTTCAATGTAGTCTGGTACATTGTCTGATTCCACTGCTACACAGACCTTGACGAAGAACAGCTCCGCAAACTTCCTGTCCTGCATACGACGACGAAACTTCTTCGTGGACCCAAAGACACCATTACGCCATGCCTCAGCCAAGGCGAGGTGTGACCGATGACGTGCGCGAACTGCTTCCTTTTCCGCTTTCTTTCGTTACTCTTCTGCCGACTCCGACTCTTCAATTTCGCTCGGGTCCATTGTGACGGCGCCTTTCTCACATTCTTTCTGATCTTCCATCTTGTTTGCGTTCTTGTCCGTCTTGGGCCGTGGTCTCTTTTCCATGCTCGGAAATGCTACTTCATGCGTTCGCCAGTTGATGTTGGCTGATATTTGGCAAACCACGGCTTACCCAAGATAACGGCATGTTCAATCGCCAGTGGACTCTCTGTTAGACGCATCCTCTCGAACGTATTGTCTTCCATGCTGATGTCCGCTTCCACTACCTTCACATCGCGATACTCCTTGATCTCACCTTTGAAGCCCTTCACCTGTACATCCTTAGTTCCTGTCACCTTCGACACCATTCCTGGCCGTACCAGATTTGCCGTAGCACCACAGTCAAGCAGTTTCGTTACTGGGCGCCCTTCGATTCTCCCGGGTTTGCGAATGAGCTCATTATCCGGTCTAGCAACCATGTCATGCATGCTGACTTCCTCAAACGCATCCACAGTGTACCGATCGTACACGATTCTTTCTTCACCCTCGCTGACGTGTTGCCCACAGCATTGACGTGCTGCGAGTCTCGTTGACGCTGATTCGGACCTCTGTAGGGGCGCTGGTTCCGACGAGGAGCCTTGCAGTGGGCTGCAATGTGACCACCACGGAAGCAGTTGTAACATTTCCTCTGCCGACGGCACTCTTCTGGACTGAGCTCTTGCGCACCGTCGATCTCCATTGGCTCAGGACCATTTGATCTTGAAGTCGACTCGTTTCTGCGGAATCATGGGTGATCACGATCGCGACGTCCCGTGCGCGCCGGAGCACCGAAGTGCGAGCGCTCATAGTCCATCGCTACCGTAATGGCATCCGTAAGGGTTTCACAACGCTTGTACAGTACTTCTTGACGTGTATTTGGCATCAACCCTTGCGAGAAGTACACCACTTTGTCGATCTCCGTCATGTCTTCCACTTGTAGTACAATGTTGCGAAACGGTGAAACGTAATCACCCAACGACTTGCAAGATTTCTGGCTCAGGTGTCGCAACTGGTCAAGCAGCCGCAACTGAAGATCCGCCGGAACAAACGCGCGTGCCAACTCTCGGAGTAACCGCTCCGCAGAGTAGATCTCATGCTTCCGCGCCAGATACCACTGACCAGCCTGCCCCTTCAACGTGCTCCTGATAATGGCCAGTACCCTCGTCGCCCAACGCTCGTTCTTCCAGTCAATGTTGCGGGCCTCAAAGTACTGCGACAACTCTACTTGATACAGGCAGAAAGACTCAGACTAATGCCCCGTGTACTTGGGTAGTCTAATCCCATTCAACTTGAAGTCATTCGTTTCTCGTTGCTCGTTCATTACTCTCATCATCTCTTATTGCTGCTGCATCAGCTGCAGCACTCCTTGCATGAGCTCCGAGACGTCCGCCATCTTGTTCGCCCTCCTTTCGCACGCGGAAGTCTTAACCCAAAGGTCTAACTAGTAACAAAGCTGATTCCCTCTAAAACGTTATACCCGCGAAGGTATTCGTTTTTACACACTACGATAAATTGCCGTAAAAAAGCGACTAAAACGTGTTTACTGCTCGCTAGACGAGTTAATCAGCTCCCTTACAGTAGCTAGGTTACGCTGGCGGCGGGCTTCTTCGCGATCACGGAGACGGTTGTCGTGCTCGAGTTGCTGACGGGTGGTACGAGGGTCCAAAATCCTGGCTACACCGAGGTTGATGAGGCCGGTCGCCTTGCCGAGTTTACGCTGGACGCGACAGAGCTCCAGCCATCCAATCAAAGAAGCGGCCCGGGCAACTCAGAGTGGACTGCACTACTCCTAACCGCCGAACTCGAAAGCCGGACTGGATCGGGTGCGCCGCTACAACTGGTGCCTCGTACTTATGCCGACGTTCCCTTGACAGATGTCAGGTGGGTCCGAATTACAGCCAATCACCGGTGCCCGTAGACCTCTCCGAGGTTGAGCGAAGCGCGGTCAAAAGCGAATCCCTAGCCGGTGCCCGAAGACCTCCCTGAGATTGAGCGAAGCGCGGTTGCGAGGGGACCAACAAGTGCTACCAAATGACAGGCTCTGATGCGGTGGGGCCTGCCGTAGCGAGAGTGCGTGGAGTTGTTGTGGTTACTTGCTTGCTTTTGGGTAAAATGCAAAGTGAGATTGATTCCTTTAAGTCTTCGGGCTAGCTACGGGCTCTAGGTCTTCCTCTTGCTTTCTCCTTAGTGTCGTACTAGAAGCTGAGCTAACCTATACTAAGTGCAAGTGTTTTTTCCGTTTTCGTAATCCTATATATGCATGTTTGTATACTTGTGCAGGTAGAGTTCTGGATTCCGGGCGCCAGGCAGTCTTGCGCAAGCCTGGCGCCAGCCTTCAAGCGACACTGCGCGCAAGCTACTTGTGGCGGAGGAGGAGGCGGCGGCGCTGCGACGCCTGACTCCCTAGCCACCAGGTACGTATTCCTTGAGCATGTCTGTTGCTGGCGTACCCGCTTGCGTGGGTGCCAGCAGCAGACATGCTGCATCATGACACTTATGCAGAACAGGTCTTGGATTTGGTCAGATAGTACGTTTTCTATGATCTCGTGATTGGATCACATTCGCCATCGGAAGACGCAAAATACTACATTACGAAAGTTGTCGAGCCTCAGCGCAGTGGCTGCCATGGCGCTGGCAAGCATCCCCGAGATTGTTGCGGATTATACTGATCCCCACTATACTACTTGCAGTTGGAGTAAGACAAAAGGTGAAAGAGAAGAATCTAGGCCTCAGGTGAGAATATACACACGGCTTTTACCGCCCAGCTGAGTGTTGTCGTTGCTTCCATCTCTGCGTGAGCAGCACCAAGAGGACACTCCACTTCAGGTTATGAGCCCAAGGCTCACGCGAGGGGAGCACAGCAACTAGGACGTCATGGCGGAGCAGAAGAAGACGCCCAAGGAGTCACACGAGGAGAAGAGGACGATCCCGCCGTTTGACGGCAAGGACTACGAGGTCTGGCACGAGCGAGTCAAGCTCAAGCTGGAGAGGAAGAAGCTGTGGAAGTACTGCATGGAGGACTGGCTCGAGCCGGACGAGAGCAAGGAGGCAGAGGCGCACGCGACGTGGACGAGCGAGATGGTCCACGCCAAGGAGATCATCTACGACGCAATGACGAATCACATAATGAAGACTGTGAAGTATGAACCCACCCCGTTTCGTGTCATGGAGCGCCTAAAAAAGAGATTATGGGCAAGACGTACCTGAAGTGCGCTGAGGAGGGGGCCAAGCTCAGCCGGTTACGGCTCGCTCCCAACGGCAATGTACCAGATCACCTGAGCGAGATGCGTCGGCTGATGGAGACCATTGCTGGAGTCGGGCGTCCTGTGGACGAGTATGTAAAGCCAGCACTATTGATTGGATCTCTGCCGCGCGAATATGATCATGTTGTACAGACGTTTCTCGCCAGTCACAAGCCCCAAAATGCTGATGATCCTCCTAATTGTGAACAACTTGAACTCGCATTGGAGATGGCTTACGACCATCGCCAAGGTCGGAAAGCAGAGGGCGCCAAGGACAATCATGATGAAAAAAGGCGTTCTTTGCTGGTGGAGGAAGAGGTCGAGGACGAGGTCGCGGCCGTGGACGTGGTGGTCGATCTGGAGGACACGGGCGCGGTTCCGGTGGTGGACGTGGTTCTGGCGGTCGCGGGAGCCAAGGTGGCGGACATGGAGCTGGACGTGGCCAAGCCGGCAGTGGACAAAAATCAGGTGGTGCTTGTTATCACTGCCATGAAGCAGGGCATCATGTGTTTGATTGCCCGTTTCTTGGCAAGCGACCTCCAGCCGAGGATCGCAGCAGCACCCAAGCTCAGAAGCGCGTGAAGATGAGTGGACGAAAGAGTGCTAAGGCTGCTGAAACGAGTAACTACGCTAATGAAAGTGATGACAGCGCGTATGTTATTCTTCAAGTGATGAAAATGAAAAAGCCGGTCGCAGACAAAGCCCATGATAACTGGTACCTGGACTCTGGTGCATCGAGTCATATTTCGAACCAGCTCACTGACTTGATGGAGTTCACGCCTCTTAGCGCCCGGATTCGAGTCGGAGGAAAGAACTCGCTGGGTGTTGAGGGTATTGGTACTGTGGTTAAGAAACTCGAGACTACTGGTGGGAGGTGCTCACTGACGCTGCGAGGAGTTCGTTATGCTCCAGAGCTGCAGTGCAGTCTCTACTCTGTGCGACGGCAACTGAACCAATATCTGCCTGAACGTGATCGTGTGAGGGTGTACTTTGATGAGGCAGATCGCGCAGTTGTAATCTTACGGGCTAGTGTGACTACCGCTCAAGTTGATGATACCAATCTCTATCGCTTGAAGTTGGAGAGACCCCGAGAGGTAGCCATGGTGGCGCTACCAGTTCGAGTGAGTAGTTTGGAGCTGTGGCAGTCGAAATTGGGGCACACTGGCAGGAACTCGTTTAATGCGCTGTTCAGCCATGATCAGTGGCCGTTGCCACATGTGAACTTGCGCATCCCGGTGGGTTTCAATTGCGAGGCCTGTGTGAAGGGGAAACTTACGAGGAAGAGCATGAAGAAGTCTCGGACACAGACCCGCGAGTGGTTAGTTGGCGAAAAGGTCCATGTGGACGCTTGGGGTCCGTATGCAGAGTACTCCTACGGTGGTAAACGGTACTTTGCCGTGTCCGTTGATGATGCGAGTCGGTTTGTCACCGTGAATCTTCTGGAGCATCGTTCGGAAGTGTATCAGAAGTTTGAGGAGTACTATCAACGCGTCAAGACGCGGCAGCATGTCAGAATGAAAGCGCTAAGGTCAGGCAATGCAAAGGAGTTCAAGAAGCTGCAAAGTACGTGTGAGACGTAGTATGGTATGGAGTTTGACAGCAGCGTCAAGCATACTCCGGAGCAAAATGGTGTCGCGGAGAGAATGGTCCGCATCATTACGGAGAGAATGCGATGCATGCTCGTGCACTTCGACCTGCCTGATACGATGTGGGGTGAGGCAGCGATGACAGCTGTATACTCCGTGAACATTATGCCAAGCTCGGTTCGAGGCATGGAGGTACCGTATGCAGTATGGCACCGTCAGACTCCTGCTTATGAGAAGTTGCGGACATTCGGCTGCGCCGTCCTGTCGTACATCGACAAGGTGGAGAGACGGAAGATGCAGGCGAAAGCACGGGAGGCGGTCTTCGTTGGATATTCGCGAGAGAAGCGAGGCTATCGCTTGCTCGATAGCAAGACCAACAAGGCCTTCTACAGCCATACTGTCGTGTTCTATGAGAATAAAGCTGGTCGAATTGCTCATGGACTCGGCATCAACGCCAAGTGCAGCCTCGAGTAAGGAATATTTAGGCGTTGATCGATCAATAGAGGATGACATTGAGCCAATGCTGGATGAAATGCATGATGACTCAAATGATGGAGGTAGTTATCGTGATGATGGAGATTGCTGGACTGGTGGGGCCAGCGACTCATGAGACGGAGGTGATTATCGGACTGGTGGGGCTGATGGCACCCGATGTGATGACCGACCAGGTGGGGCAGTTGAGCAAGATGCCCGGTCAGGTGGGGCACGTGGGTCCAAGAAGAGAGGCCCCGGTGGTGATGCCGCAGCGCCTCGACCAAAGAGAGTGCGGTTTGCGGTGTCTGAAAGTGGACGTTCTAGCAAGGTGGCAGAACGAGATGAAGGACGTGGAGTGAGCTCTACCGCATCTGGATGTGATCGTTCTAGCAAGGCGGCAGAACGTGATGAGGAACGTGTCAATGGACATGAGGCAGACCACCTGCGAGGTTAGTGCGTGCCAGGCAATTCCAAAAGAAGGAGAAAGAGGAAACGCAGCAGTGGGCGGCACAAGGGACCGGCTGCTGACGAGACGAGGGCTCTGCCAGGGAGTCAAGAGGTGGAAGAGGTGGACAGCAGGTCATCGGCTGCTGAGCGGGCCGACTCGGACAGCCAAGTGTCGAGTGATGCTGCGAGTGTGGGCGTCTATCAACGCCCCCTTGCACAGCACTTCGTGAGTACACAGGCCCGAGAGGCACTCGCCCTAAAGACCCTCCAGTGACACGGAGCGGTCGGGTAAGTAAACCGCCCACGTGGTTCGGGGACTACGTCTACATTGCCTACGAAAATACAAATCCAGATGATGATGTGAACTCGTTGCCTGCTGGATGGAGGAAAGCACGAGCTGAGCTGCAACGTGCTATGGCGAACGAGTTGAACCTTGCATGGTGGGAGGACTATTGCTGCATGAGTACTGGCGAGTTTGAAGAGCCAGATACTTTCGGTGACGCTATGGAGAGTGAGCACTCATTGCAATGGAAAAATGCAGCTGATGATGAGTTTGATTCGTTGATGAAGAACGATACCTGGGAGTTGGTGCCGCGTGAGAAGCACACGAAAGTGCTGCAGAATCGCTGGATCTTTCGCGTCGAGTATCTAGCGAACGGAGAAATCGAGAGATTCAAAGCGAGGCTCGTGATCAACGGCTTCATGCAGATTTGTGGTATCGACTACCTAGAGGTGTACTCGCCTGTTGTGAGGCTGGAGACACTGCGTGTTCTCTTGACACTGGCGGCTGTCTGGGATTATGAAGTGCATCAGATGGATGTCACTACTGCTTTCTTGAATGGGGCGATTGACGTGGAGGTCTATATGGAGCAGCCTGAAGGCTTCAAAGTGAAAGGCAAAGAGGACTGGGTGTGCAGATTGAAGAAGAGCCTGTCCGGCTTGAAGCAGGCGCCCAGGGTGTGGTTTCAGCTGCTCAAGTCGTTCTTGGAGGAGCAGGGCTTCACGATGCTGCAGTCGGAGGCCTGCGTGGCTGTTAAAGTAATTGATGGGCAGTTGGTCTTCATCCCTCTCTATGTTGATGATCTGATTTTGTTTGCTCCGTCGATGGAGCTCATCAACAAGATGAAGAAGATGTTCGAGGACCGGTTTGCGATGAAGGACCTCGGGGAGTTACACTACATTCTCGGCTGGCAGATCACGCGGAACCGGGCCGAGAGAACGATGTTCATTGGTCAGCAGAAGTATGCCGAGACCGTGCAAGCGGTTCAACATGTAGGACTGCAATGGCTGCAAGACGCCGAGCACGGCGGATCTGAAGCTGAGCAAGGCCATGTGTCCGACCGAAAACGATGAAAGGCAACTGATGAGATCGAAGCCATATCGTGCTGTGGTTGGCAGCCTGATGTACTTGATGCTCGGTACCCGGCCCGATCTGGCCTACCCAGTTAGAGAGTGCAGTCAGTTCTTGGAAAACCCAGGTCTGTTGCATTGGAGAGCTGCAAAACGTGGATTGCGCTACCTGAAAGACACAGTGGACTGGGGGATCCAGCTTGGTGGCCTAGCGTGATAATATCAAAAGCTGGATGATCATCTGAGAGCATACGCAGATGCGGATTTTGCAAATCGAGTTGATGATCGAATGTCTGTTGCAGGCTACGTGACTCAATTTTGTGGGAGCATCATTTCGTGGAGCAGCCAGACGGAGAAGACCGTCGCGCTCCACACGACCGTGGCCGGATATATGGCTCTTAGTCTACTGGTGCAGGAGGTGGTGCACTTGCGCCAGAAGCTGAAGGAGCTGCAGGTGCAGCAAATTCAGCCATCCCAAGTCTTTGTGGACAATGAAAGTGCGAAGAAGCTTGCCAGCAACCCTGTGTTTCACTCCCGGACCAAGCACATCGATGTGCGCCACCACTTCGTGCGTGAGCGCATGATTTGAAGGAAATTGACGTGCTTCGGGTGCCAGGAGTTAATAACGTGGCCGATGCTTTTACAAAGCCATTGGCACGTCCGGCATTTGAAAAACACAGAGCTGCAATGGGATTATTGCCAACGGCAAGATTTGGAGATGCAAGTTGATGGGAATCCGTAGGTGGGGTTGTTGCGGATTATACTGATCCCCACTATACTACTTGCAGTTGGAGTAAGACAAAAGGTGAAAGAGAAGAATCTAGGCCTCAGGTGAGAATATACACACGGCTTTTACCGCCCAGCTGAGTGTTGTCGTTGCTTCCATCTCTGCGTGAGCAGCACCAAGAGGACACTCCACTTCAGGTCTTGTGCAGAACAGGTCTTGGATTTGGTCAGATAGTACGTTTTCTATGATCTCGTGATTGGATCACATTCGCCATCGGAAGACGCAAAATACTACATTACGAAAGTTGTCGAGCCTCAGCGCAGTGGCTGCCATGGCGCTGGCAAGCATCCCCGAGATGCTAGCTTCTCGGTGATTTCGACCCTTCCAGACCTAACGGTCCAGGACGTCATGGAGTGACCTCCCTCCCCACCTACCGGCAACCCCAGCGAGCTTTGTGAGCTGGGGGATGCAGCAGCAGCAGCCTGCGGTGCGCCTACGGAAAGCTCGCACGACCTCCGCAGACTTGCCATGGGAGAAGTCGCCGTTGGGCACGAGACGGCGGCTACGTTTCAAGGAGAAGGAGGACGCGGGCCCGCCCGCTGTGCATCGCCGCCGACGACGACTGGCCGCGCATCTTGTGATCAAGAGCTCTACGCGCGGCGGAGCGCATCTCGAGGTGCTGATGCCACCCGAGCCTGTGGGCGATGCCAGCGCTGTAATGGGGTACATGCTACGAGACCCTAGGAAAGACAACGACAAGAGCATGCTGCTATCGTGGTATGGCGTACTGCCTGGACACCTCAAGAACACTGAACGTAAGTGTGCTCCGAATTCGCCATCATTCTTGATCAAACGTGTGACTAACTGGGAAAACGTCATGTCTGAATTCCTCTGTCTTGCTTTTAGGCGCTGAGGACACGAAGCACACCGATGGCATCCTTTCACCGCCGCGCGGAATTGATCAGATGAGCACTGGCCCGCTGACTCTCTGACAGAAC